TCTCCCTTCCTCTGACTCTAAAATCAATCAATCAATAATAATAATAATAATAAAGAATAAGCTATTGACACATAAACAACATAGAGAAATCTAAAAAACTTATGCTGAGAAAGACTTGCATAATGAAAATAAAACACTGCTGAAAAAAAGACAAATAAATAAATGAAAACAAATCTCATGTTCATGGATTGGAAGACTTAATATTGTTGAGATGTCAATACTACCAGAAGTAATCTACAGATTCAATGCAATCCCTATCAAAATCTCAATTATGTTTTTTACAGAAATAGAAAAACCCATCCTAAATTTCATATGGAATCTCAAGAGACCCTGAATAGTCAAAGCAATCTTGAAAAAGAAAAACAACGCTTTTAAAGAGAAGTCACACTTCCTGATTTCAAAACTGACTACAAAACTATATTAATCAAAATAGCATGGTACTGTCATAAAGACAGAAATATAGACTAATGGAATACAATAAAGAATCTGAAAAAAAAACCTTTGGATATATGGACAAATGATTTTTGACAAGGGTGCCATTCAATGGGCTAAAGGACAGCCTTTCAACAAATGGTGCTGGGAAAATCATATCAACATACAAAAGAATGAAGTTCGCCCTGGCTGGTTTGGCTCAGTGGTTAGAGCGTTGGCCCATGGACCACAGAGTCCCGGGTTCAGTTCCCACTAAGGGCATGTACCTCGGATGCAGTTTGTCCCTGGCCCCAGTTGGGGTCGTGTGGGTGGCAACCACTCAATGTGTCTCTCTCACATTGATGTTTCTCTCTTTCTCTCCTCCCTCTCTCCCTCCCGCTTTATCTTAAGATAAGTGCAAAAATATCCTCAGGTGAGGATTAAAAAAACCCACAAACACAAAAGAATGAAGTTGGACCTTTAACTAATTCCCTATACAAAAATAAACTCATAATGGATCAAAGACTTAAATGTAAGCTCTGAAACTATACAACTCTTAGAAAAAAACACAGAGCAAAACCTTTATGACATTGGATTTGGCAGTGATTTCCTGGCTATGATACCAAAGGCACAGGCAACAACAACAACAAAATAGATGAATTGGACTTCATAAAAAAATTTAATTGTGTATCAAAAACCAGTATCAGCAGAATAAAAATTCAATGCACAGAATGGGAGAAAATATTTGGAAATCATATATCTGATAGGGATAAATATCAAAATATAGAGACCTTCTAAAATTCAACAACAAAGAAACATACACCACCATTCAAAAATGGCCAAGAGACACCCAGCCGGTGTGGCTCAGTGGTTGAGTGTTGACCCGTGTACCAAGAGGCCACTGGTTCAGTTCCTGGTCAGGGCACATGCCCAGGTTGTGGGCGAACTCCCCAGTGGGGGCATGAGGAGGCGGCCAATTGATGTTTTCTCTCATCCATGTTTCTACCTCTCTCTTCCTCTCTCTCTAAAAATCTATTTTAAAAAATGGCGAAGAGATTAAATAGACATTTCTTCAAAGAAAATATACAAATTGCCAATAAAAGAAAAGATGCTGAAGATCTTTAATCTTTAGAGAAATGTAAACCAAAAGTACAGCCCTGGCCAGTTTGGCTCAGCAGTTAGAGCATCAGCCCTCGAAACAGAGTCTCAGGTTTGATACCAGTCAGGCACGTACCTAGGTTGTGGTTCGTCCCCAGCCCTTGTTGAGGTTGTGCAGGAGGCAGCCAATCAGTGTGTCTCTCTCATATTGGTGTTTTTCTCTCCCTCTTGCTCTCTGTCTCTCTATCCTTCCCTCCCACTCTATCTGAAAATAAGGAGAAAAATATCCTAGGGGGAGAATTTAAAAAAAAAGTACAATGAGATACCACCTCACACCCACTTTGATGGCTACTATCCAAATAAATAAACAAATAAAGCAGAAAATAAGAATTGGCAAGAATGTAGAGAAATTGGAACCCTTGTGCACAGTTGGTGGGCATGTCAAATGGTTGAAAACAATGTGGTAGTTCCTCAAAAATTAAAAATAGAATTACCATATGATTCAGCAATTCCACCTCTGGGTGTATAACCAAAAGAATTGAAAGCAGGGGCTCTAAGAGATATTTGTATACCATGTTCATATCAATATTATTCACAATAGCTAAAGGATAGAAGCAACTAAAGTGTCCATCAACAGATGAATGGATAAATAAAATGTGGTCCATTCTTTTATTTTATTATTATTTTTTTTATCCTCACCCGAGGACATTTTTCCATTTTTTGTACAGACAGAGTGGGAGGGAGAGAGAGGAAGAGAGAGAGAGGGAAACATCGATGTGAAAGGGACACATCGAGTGGCTGCCACCCGCACGACCAACCAGGGCTGGGGACAAACTCGCTGAGCCAAACCGGCCAGGGCTGGTCCATTTTTTTTTATTTTTATTTTTATCCTCACCCGAGGACATTTTTCCATTTTTTGTTCAGATAGAGTGGGAGAGAGAGAGAGGAACAGAGAGAGAGAAACATCGACGTGAAAGGGACACATCGAGTGGCTGCCACCCGCACAACCGACCAGTGCCGGGGACAAACTGCAACTGAGGTTCGTGCCCCTAGCGGGAACCGAACCCGGGTCTCCCAGGACCACAGGCCGACGCTCCAACCGCTGAGCCAAACCGGCCAGGGCTGGTCCATTCTTTTAATAGAATATTATTCAGCCTTGAAAAGGAAGAAGATTCTGATACATGCTACAACATAGATTAACCTCGAGGGCATTATGCTTAGTGAAATAAACCAGTCACAAAAGGACAAATATTTATGATTCCATTTACAAGAGGTACTTAAGAGCAGTCAAATTCATAGAAACAAAGTAGAATGGTGGGTACCAGGGGCCGGGGGAAAAGCGAGTTACTATTTAATGGATATAGAATTTTAGTTTTGCAAAATAAAGAGTTATGGTGATGGATAGTGATGTTGGTTATAAAACATTATGAATGCATTTTAATGTATTTGAAATGGTTAAGATGATAAATTTTATGTGTATTTTACACATAAATATCTGAAAAAATAAATATATATTGAGGAAAAGAAATCAGACACAAGAGTACATGCTTTATGATCTCATTTATCTGAAACTACAGAAAAAGCAATTATAATCGAAAGTGTCAGAGAACAGGTAATTGGTTGCCTAGCGCCAGGGATGGGGGTGGTGGATCTACTGGGAATATTTTGGGGTGACAGAAATGATCTCTATCTTGATTATGGTGGTGGCTGCATGTCTAAATTCAAAGAAATGTACACTTAAATTGGGTACACTGTATTGCATATAAATTATACTGCAATAACATTGATTTAAAAAATAAAAAAGCAATGGGCCAGAATGGCAGGAAATTACTACTTCTGAAAGCAGAGTTCAGGAATAATTTCCTCCATGGCAGACTAGCACAGTTTCATCTAGATAAAGCTGATGGCAATACTGTAGGTAAGCTCTTGGGAAAAAGTAACGATGCACAAATTGTGAAGGCAGCAGTCCTCTACTATTATGAATGATTTTACAGGTCATAGGCACATTATACTAATTGTAACCAGAAAATGAAATAAAGGAAGTAGTGCTGTGATGACTCATCGGGAAGGCTCAGAGTGCTCTCGTATGTTTCACACCTCCGCCTTGACTGCAGGATGTAGAGCCAGAGCTAGTACAGATGACATGGAGTTCCACAGATGGACTTTCCATGCTGCTTCCCAGGAAAAGAGCAAAACATCACGTGTTGACAATAGTTTTTCACTTTTAGATTCTTTTTTTTTTTTTTTTTTTTATCCTCACCCGAGGACAATTTTGCATTTATCTTCAGATAGAGCGGGAGGGAGAGTGGGGGGAAAGAGAGAGAGAAACATGGAGGCCAGAGAAACACATCGACTGGTTGCCACCCACACGACCCCAACTGGGGCCAGGGACAAACTGCAACTGAGGTACGGAGGAGGTACGTGCCCTTAGCGGGAACTGAACCTGGGACTCTCTGGTCCACTGGCCGATGCTCTAACTGCTGAGCCAAACTGGCCAGGGCTGCACTTTTAGATTCTTAGTGCTGATAAGAATGTGTGTGTGTGTGTGTGTGTGTGTGTGTGTGTGTGTGTGTGTGTATATATATATATATATTTTTTTTTTACTGAACACTTCCGGCCTGAGCCAGTATTTTATTTTATTTTATTTTATTTTATTTTATTTTATTTATTATTATTATTATTTTTAATCCTCACCCGAGGACATTTTTTCCATTTTTTGTACAGACAGAGTGGGAGCGAGAGAGAGGAAGAGAGAGAGAGGGAAACATCGATGTGAAAGGGACACATCGAGTGGCTGCCACCTGCACGACCAACCAGGGCCGGGGACAAACTGCAACCGAGGTACATGCCCTTAGCGGGAACCGAACCCGGGTCTCTCCGGACCGCAGGCGGACGCTGAGCCAGTATTTTAGTTAGTTAGCTAGTTAGTCCACTAGTTAGTTATTGACTTGCCCGCTAAATATATAAGCTTCATTAGGTCAGGTACCTCTACACCGTTGTATCCCCAAAGCCTAGAACTGTGCCTGGCACACAGGAAGCCCTCTAAAAATATGTGCTGAATGAATGAATGACTTGTCAAAGGCAATGGGTGCAAATAGGTGCCTATCCAGACTTCCATGGCTACCTGCCCCCGTGCCTTTATCCAGTCCAGCGTGCCAGGAACACCTCAAGGGTTTGGGAGAGTCTCAGTTCCTTTCGTCCTCCCGCCTAGAGGGGGAGTCAAGACCCGGTGGGCGGTGAGCGGGCTGGAGCCGCGGATAGGCGGCCCTCTCTATGGTCCTGCTCCCCAAGCCCCTCCTCCCTCGCACCCGGCGTGCCTCTATGGTTCTTCCTGTCATTAGTCGGGAGGGGGCGCTGTGCGCAGGCGCGAGGTGACGCCGCGGCAGGGCCGGAAGGAGCGCAGCTGTGGCCTCCGCGGCGGCGACGGAGCGGTCGGCCGCGGCTTCTGGTGACTGAAAGCCCTGGCGACAGGGACCGCCAAGCCCGCCTCGTGAGCCGGCGAGTTGAGTGGCGAGTAAGTGTCGGCCGCGGGGCGCGCAGCTCCTCCTCAGGTTGTGCGAGGCGAGTGCGTCTCGGCCCGGCGCCTCCTCTAGCCCGGGGTCGGGGTCGGGGCCGGGGCGGGGGCCTCGGCCGTGAGGGGCGGCAGGGCGCGGGGCGGCCGGGGCGCGGGGCCGCGGCGAGGCGGGAGCGACAAAGGCGCGCGGCCGCCGGACCCTCCCCCGCTGCCGGCACTTCGGGAAGTTTCGCGGGCCGGCCCGCCGGCCTGCTGCGCGGAGGCGACAGCGCCGAAAGTCCGAGTTTCCCGGGCGACACCCCCGGGACACGGTGTCCTGGAGCCGAGCGTGGCCGGAGCGCGGGGGCGACGCGCTGGGACCGAACTCGGGGGGCCGGGCCCGGGGCTGGCGGGCCGCGCCGCCGCTCGCTCGGGACTCGGCTCGAGGGGTGTGTCCCCAGCAGCCGGCGACTCCGCAGCCCTCGAGCGGACGTCCAGGGGTGGCCGCGCCGGCCGCGCGGGGACGGCGACCCTGACGGACGCGCCTGCCGCGCCGGGCGCCGACCCAGAGCGACGCTGCCGCGCGTGACGTGGCCGCAGCCCCAGCCCCAGCCCCGGCCCCGTGCAGCGCGGGGGGCCCCCCGCTTCGGGCCGCTCCAGCCTCGTGACGGCGCTGAGCGCTGGCGGGGCCCGCTCGGCTTCCAGGCCGCTCCCCGCAGACGGCAGCCCGGGGCCCCGTGCCCCGCTGGGGCCTGTCCCGGGCACGTCGCCGCCGGAGACCAGCGGCCGTGCCCGCGGTGGAGCGCGGGGCACGTCCTGGCACAGAGCCGGACCCTTGCCCGGGGGAGGGCCGCCCGGAGGTGGCCTTGCCCGGTTTTCCGTGCAGGGGCTCATCAGGCCCGGGCTGGGCAGTGGTTGGACCCGAGCAGATCGCCGAGAGCCAGGGGCCGACTTTGGACCCCCTTGTAAAACCGGAACCGAGGCTTCGGCCCCTGCGGGGAAATCTGATCGGGGAGGATCCGAGAGTCAGGGACTCAGTGTTTGAAGCAGGGTGGGCGAGAGAATCCGAGTTTGCTCACTCTGATGGCTGCAATTTTTTTTGTTTTTGTTTTGTCTTTTAGTAACTTTATTGATTTTTAGAGAGAGAATAAGGGAGAGGGAAACATGGATGTGATCTGATCAGCTTCCCCCCCTCCCCCCGGGATGAACCCACAAGCAGCCTGTGTCCCCTGACCAGGAATCAAACCCACCGCGGTGCATGGGAGGACACGCAGCAAACTGAGCACACCTGCCCGGGCAGCTTTTTTTTTTTTTTTTAAGTCTCTCCTGAGGATATGTTTATTGAGGAACATCCGTTGGTTGCTGGTGCCTCGGTAGGAGCCATAACCAGGGATCCACCCTGAAACCGAGGTATGTGCCCTGGTTGCCCTGACCAGGAATCGAACCCAAAACCCTTTGGTGTACTGGATGAAGCTCCAACCAACTGAGCCACTTGGCCAGACTGATAGCTGCCATTTATAACACTCAATATTCTAGGCTGTTAAGATATTCACAAACATTATAACTAATTTCACACCTAACCATGTTATTTTATCCTCATTGCTAATTATAATAGGACAAAACATGATGATGCTATGTGCCAGATATTGTTCTAAGCGTGTTCCATATAGTAACTCTTAATTCTCAATGGATTTTGTTAGTCTTGTTTTGTTTTGTTTTTTAAATTCACCCAAGGACATTTTTCTTTTTCTTTTTTTTTTTTTTTTTTGCGTTTTATCTTCAGATAGAGCGGGAGGGACAGAGTGGGGAAGAGAGAGAAACATCAATGTGAGAGAGACACATCGATTGGTCGCCACGCACACAACCCCAACTGGGGCCGGGGACAAACTGCAACCGAGATATGTGCCCTTAGTGGGAACCGAACCCAGGACTCTCCGGTCCAAGGGCTGAGGCTCTAACCTCTGAGCAAAACCAGCCAGGGCTCGTTATTCTTGTTTTTAAATGGAAGAAAATGAGTTGCTGAAAAAGAGCTTACCTAATCACAAAGGTTACAAGGGTCTGAGCTGGAACTTGAATTCAGTTTGGTTCCAGAGTTCATGCTCCTAATTATCCCACTATACCTGTGAATATTTATTAAAAAGGCTCTCATGGAGTATTTTCTTTGTGCTGCACAGTGTGCTATGTCCTAAGACTATGAGAACGAATAAGAGGCAGAGTCCCACCTTTTTGGAACTTGTTTTAGCACCGGAGATTGATATTAAACACAACTTCATAAGTAATTGTAGATTATTATTGTGCCAAGTCCTCTTAAGGAGTGAGAGATATGTGCATGAATTCTGGGAATAGTCAGGAGAGGTTTTTGTCTGAGGAAGTGACATTTAAGATGAAGAAGCACGCCCTGGCCAGTTTGGCTCAGTAGTTGGAGCATCAGCCTGTGGACCAGGGAGTCCCGGGTTCGGTTCCCACAAGGGGCACATACCAAAAGTAAAAAAATAAATTAAAAAAAAAGATGAAGAAGCAAAGGATGATAGAGTTCATTTGATCAGAGAGAGGCATGAAGAGTATTCTAGCCAGAGAAAAGAGCCAGAAGTGGAAGGAAGGGGCATGGCATGCTCAAGAAACCAAGCCATTATCGCTGACAAATGGTGAATGGGAGAAAGAGGTACAGGTGAGGCTCTCTGTAAAGGATCATATGAGGCAGCGTTTTGCAGACCTTGGCAAGGATTTTGGTTCTACCGTGATAAGATTGGAGGTTTAAAAAACAAACTCACGCCCTGGCCGGTTTGGCTCAGCGGTTGGAGCGTCGGCCTGCGGTACAGAAAGACCTGGGTTCGGTTCCCGCTAAGGGTACCTCGGTTGCAGATTGTCCCCGGCCCTGGTTGGTCGTGCCGGTGGCAGCCACTCGATGTGTCCCTTCACATCGATGTTTCTCTCTCTCTCTCTCTTCCTCTCTCTCCCTCCCGCTCTATCTGAACAAAAAATGGAAAAATGTCCTCGGGTGAGGATAAAAAAAAAAAAACACACACAAAAAAAATCAAACTCTCACTGAGCCATGTAGTTCAGTGGTTGAGCATTGACCCATGCACCAAGGTTCAGTTCCTGGTCAGGGCACCTGCCCAGGTTGTGGGCCCAATCCCCAGTGGGGGGCATACAGGAGGTGGCCAATTGATGTTCTCTCCCATCGATGTTTCTATCCCTCTCCCTCCCTCTCTCTAAAAATTAATAAAGAAAAAAATTTAAAAACAACAAAACTCTGAGTGCTATATTAAAATATGTTAGGGTAGAACCTATAGGCAGTATTGAGTAGAAAGGACAAGGTGTTAAGAGTTCACAGAGGATTCTTCTATAGAAAGGTCATTGAACCCCTGGCCGGTTTGGCTCAGTGGTTGGAGCGTCAGCCTGCAGTCCAGAGAGACCCGGGTTCGGTTCCCTCCAAGGGCATGTACCTTGGTTGCAGTTTGTCCCCAGCGCTGGTTGGTCATGCGGGTGGCAGCCACTCGATGTGTCCCTTTCACATCAAATGTTTCTCTCTCTTCCTCTCTCTCCCTCCCACTCTATCTGAACAAAAAATGGAAAAATGTCCTAGGGTGAAGATAAAAAAATTTTTTTTAAAAAAAAGGTCATTGAAAACATTGATTTTTTTTTTTACTTTCTCCTTTGTGGATGAGTATGTGCTTACTTAACTATCCTGGTTTCTGTGACAATATTCAGTTGATAGTTAAGGGAAATCTTAATGCTATATGTTAAACTCTTTAGCCCACCCAATGAAGATTTCAAATTTAATTTTTAAATTAAAACCTCTTCTATTGTAGAAAGACACTGATTACAGGATTTCTAGGGTTCTTTTAGACTGCTTAAACTCCAAACTAATTGTTTGCGTAATTATATATGTAATTATGGATGGTATTCTACCTTAATTCTTTCATTTTTGTCTATGCATTAAAATTAACATGCATTGCATTTTCTTCTTCTGAACTCATCACCTGCCCTGTTCTTTCTTAGTAGTATCACCATCCTTCATTCACCCAATCTCAACAACTAAGTCATCTTTGACTTCTTTTTTTCTCTTACCCTGATGGCTAATTACATATAGAAAAAATCCTATTTAATCTAATTCTGTAGTCAGTATCTTGCATCTTTTTCCTCCCCTGTTTACTGTTAGCTCTAGTTAGACTTTAGCTCTTGTTTCTGGGTTTCCTGCCACCAGATGTTTTCTACAGTCTGTCATATATTGCAATTAGGTTGATTTTCCTAAAGTACAACTTGACATTGCTTCCCATTGGATAGAAAATAAAATTAGAACTCTGCTTCAGTTAGCTATTGATGCATAGCAAACCACACCCAAACTTAGTGGCTTCATATAGTTTCATTTGTTAACAGTTTTGTGAGTCAGGAGATTGGGAAGAGCTCACCTGGGTCATTTCTTTTTTCTGATTCACATGCTGTCAGATGAGGTGACTGGAGGACCCACTTCAGAAATGACTCCTTCACTCCCATGCCTTATCAGAGACTGCTGGAAGTCTGGGCTCCCCTGGCCTTTCCCACTCCATGTCATGTGTCAGGGCTTTCCATGTGGTCTCTCCAGCAGGGGAATTAGACTTACAGGGTGACTTCAAGAGCCCTAGATGGAAGCTGCTGCCTCCTTTAAAGGCTAACCCTGGAGCTGGCACAACATTCAGTTTAGCTTAAATACTGCTGTCTCCACATTTCCTGACTTCCTGCCCTTCCACAACTGGAATAGTCTTTTTATTGAACTAATGACTTTATACTTTTTAGTATACTTAATTATACTGCATACTTTCTCTTATTGACGGGACTCCAAGTTCTTTGAGACAAGATCTACATTGAATTTTCTTTGTATTTGTTTACTGTGATGTACAACACGTTATTTACACCATGTGGCAAGCCCATAATAAATATTTGTTGAATTCGTTTAATGTATTTTAATTTTAATTTTAAGTGTTAATGAAAGTAATACCAATTTAACAGAGAAAAATCAGAAAATATAAGGAAACAAAGAATATAAACTACCTTAAACTTATTTAGAAATAATCATTATTAACTTTTTGTTGTGTTGATTTAATATTGACTATTAGTACAGGCTGAGAGGCTAGAATTTGAATGAAAAGCAAAATCATTTATAGGCACTTGTTAAATATGCTAGGAAGAGGCATTGTGCGGGACTGGTGTGATGGGCATGTCAGCTTCTCCCAGCATGTGTTTGACTCTGCTTTGCCTATTTTTCCTTGAGTGTTCAGAGATTAACTCAGTAAATTTGAAGCATCTTTTATTACCCCAGAATCTGTGTTTGCAGCAGTGACAGGGATGTTTATGAGATCACTTTGGAAAGCAGGAACACTACAAAACTCCAGGACCACGCAGTATCATACTAGGAGCACATGGAAGGAAAAATGAAGAGGCAGCACGAATAGGAGGAGGAAAAGAAAATGTTAGAGACAGAACTGTCTGTCTCTTTTCATGAGGAAGCAAAGATGCAATTCTGAAAACTAGAACACTGTGTGAGAGAACCATGAGTGATTCCCCTTTTTTTTTTTTTGGCTTTGTTTTTCGAATTTTCTGTAATGGGCCATACTTTATAACTGAAGAAAATCCTGATAAACTGTTGTCATGTAAGCCCTTTTACCTGACTCTGGTTACGTATGGCTGTGATTCACAGCTCCAGGCTCTGACAGAATGATGTTTTTGGATCTACTCATTTATAAATCAACTGTGAGATGCTGGAAATACAAGTATGAATAAGACATAGTCAAAAGCATAGGGAGTTCACAATTAAAATGTGAACTCTTTCTCGTATATTGATTCATCCATAAAAGGAAGGACAGTTGTAGGAGTGGAAGAGAACATGGAAGAACTGTCATTTACAGGTTTTACTATATAGTAGTACTACCGAAGATTCTCCACAGTTAATGAAGTGATAAATTATGTGCTAATTTTTTGTTTTATTTTGGAAGCATTAACTGATATTTGACTATAAAGTACAGTAATAAACATACATGTAATTTTATAATAAAGGGTAGAGGCAAGAACTGAAATCTTTCTTGGCATTTCTAATTCCTGGACTTCGTTTTTGTTTAACTGTTTTCTTCAGTTGTCTGATCAAGAAGCGAAAAGACATAGATAGCTTCTTGCTACAGCCAGAGGAAAAATGAAGTTTCTTTTATAGAAGTAAGTGTGTATTGTCAATAGTTATAATACTAGTGAAAAGTAACTTATAAGAGGAAAATATACTCCCCTGCCTTGTTTGCCTGTATTACCAACTCTTATTAATAAACACTGCATTTACTGTGTACTTGTGATAAAGTTCTTGCTTTGATGGCTTTTATCATACATAATGTGCCTTCTCATTCATACATATATATACATGTATATATATGTGTGTGTGTATATATATAAAAGTCCTCACTCAAAGATATGTTTTTTTTTATTGATTATTTTTTTAGAGAAAGAGAAACATAGATGTGAGAGAGAAACATCGATTAGTTGCTTCCTGTATGAGCTCCCATCAGGGGGATTCAACCCACCACCTACATATGTGCCCTGACTGGGAAGGAACCCATCACCTTTTAGTGTATGGGATGATGATCCAACCAAATTGAGCCTCCTGTTCTGGGCTACCTTTTTATATTTTATTTACTCTTCAACACAGCCTTATAAAATAAGAATAGTAATTTCTGTTTCACAGATAATAGTCGTGTTGTGACACTTGCTATGTCCCAGGCACTATACTACTTTATACATATTTAACTCAATTGAATTTTAAAATAACTTTTGTCATTTACAATTTTTATTGATTTATTTTTGTTACAGATGTTTCTCCTTTTCCCCCATAGACACCCTCCTCCCGATCAGCCCCCCCCCCCCCCCCGCGCATTGTTGCCGTTGTCCATTAAAATAACTGTATTTTTATTTTACAAATAGAGGAACTAGGCCCTGACCAGTCTGGTTCAGTGGTTAGAGCATCAACCCATGGACCAATGAGTAGCGGGGTCACTTCCAGTCAAGGGCACATACCTTGATTGCGGTTGGTCCCCAGCCCTGACTGATGTCTCTCTCTCCTTTTCTCTTCCCTTTCTCCCACTCTATCTGAAGATAAATAAATAGAAAAATGTCCTCGGGTGAGGATTAAAAAAAAACAAATAGAGGAACTAGGCCCAAGAGGTTAAGCAATTTATGCAGATACTGATTCACTAAATGGTGAAACCAGATTTATACCTAAGCAGTCTGATCTGGAGCCCAGATAAGAGGACTGAATGTCAGGGGCTTGAGTGACCTTTACAGAGAAAGTAGAAATTCCATTAGATTCCTTTTCTCGCTGCAGCTTCGGGTCACTGTGTGCCATTCATGAAGAATTTTGCTTTTATTTTATTTTTAATATATATATATATATTTTATTTCAGAGAGAAGAAGGGAGAGGGAGAGAGAGAAACATCTGTTGGCTGCCTCCTGCATGCCCCTTACTAGGGGTTGAGCCTGCAACCCCGGGCATGTGCCCTGAATGGGAGTTGAACTGGTGCATGGGACTACATATAATAAACCAACTGATCCACACTGGCCAGGGAGGAATCTTGCTGTTAAAGCACCACTAGTAATCTGCTAACTACAAGATTGACATTCTAACTAAATTGGATGTAAAATAACCTTTTGATTTCTAGTGTAAAATTGAAGGAACCGAGTTGTGGTAAAAGAAGAAATAAGAAACTTGGTTAGTGTAATTCAGTGTCCAAAATACTTTTTAAAAATTATATGTGAAAGAAAAGTAAAGTACTTGAATAGATGCAGTTCAAATTTTACACCAGAGCTCTTTCCTTTATATATACCGTGCTATTTATAAGTAACATTACTGTTATTTCAAATGAGAAACCCAAACTTATGCTTGGATGTGTAATTTTTAAAATTTGAGATGCCTTTATCCAGTTATAGATAACAGAAAGTTCTGTTGTAAAACAATCTTGAATATAACTTTGTATTCTCTAAGTTGGAAAATGTTGATATTATTTGATGATTAACTCTTTGTAGACATTAATGAGAAACCAGGGTCTGGAGCTTACCTCCTCTAAAGCACATGGTTTCTCCCAGGAAGGCAAAGAAAATTGAGATTTTCTTAGGGATGAAGAAAAGTGTTGAACAGATAAATTACAGATAGGATCTTGGAACCAAAGAGACCCCATAGCAATTACAGTGATACCCCTTTGGTTCTTATTTATTGATTTTCATTTAATTTTTATCGCTATAAAGCAGGAAAATGGTTCAGAATCAAACTACAGAAAGAATTAAAAGCAATAATCCACCCTGGCTGGTTTGGCTCAGCGGTTAGAGTGTTGGCTTGCAGTCTTGAGAGGTCCAGGTTCGGTTCCCACTAAGGGCACGTACCCTGGTTGCAGTTTGTCCCCGGCCCTGGTTGGGTCGTGTAGGTGGCAACCACTCGATGTGTCCCTTTCACGTCGATGTTTCTTTTCTCTCCCTCCCTCCCTCCCACTCTATCTGAACAAAATATCCAAAAAACAAAAATGTCCTCGGGTGAGGATTTAAAAAAAAACAAAAACCAATAATCCTCGCCTCCTAATCCCCAACTACTGTTTCACATAGGCAACCACGTTTTTCCCTTTATAATCGATTTTGTTTCCCCTAAGTTTTCCATTGTGAAATACAGCACACGCAAATAAGTTTCACCCCAAACAAGTAAGTTTAGGCCTATGCCTAAACTTTATCTAAATAAAGTTTAACCCTGGCCAGTTTGACTCAGTGGTTAGAGCATGGGCCTGCGGACCAATGAGTCCTTGGTTGGGTTCCTGCTAAGGGCATGTACCTTGGTTACGGTTTGTCCCTGCCCCGGTTGGGGTTTTGTGGGTGGCAACCACTCGATATATCTCTTTCACTTCGATGTTTCTCTCTTTCACCCTTTCCCTCTATCTGAAGACATGCAAAAATGTCCTTGGGTGAGGATTTAAAAAAAAAAAATTTATAAATAAATAAAGATTAGATAAGTTGTCTTGTTAGGTGGAGTCATTCAGCATGCATATTTTATGTCTGGATTCCTTCACTCAGTCATTATGTTTTTTTGTTTGTTTTTTATTCTCACCTAAGGACATTTTTTGTTCAGATAGAGTGGGAGGGACACATCGAGTGGTTGCCACCCACCCAATCAACCAGTGCCGGGGACAAACTGCAACCCAGGTCCCTCTGGACCGCAGGCCAAACCGGCCCCGGCAGTCATTATGTTTTAATATCCATGTTATATGTGACTGTAATGGCTTCTCCCTTTTTTGTTTTTTTGGTTTTTTTTTTTGCTGTATAGATTTTAATTGTATGAACATACCATAATGTATTTGTCCATTATATCATTGATGTACATCCCTTTCAGTTTTTGGCTTATAGAATTCATGCTGCTGTGAACATTCTTGTGCATAGACTTGGTGCACATAAACATATGTTTGTATAATATAGATTTCTACTAGTGGATTGCTGGGTCTTTAGGGGATATATATCTTCTACTATAATTGATAAGGTATCAAGCTTTTTTTGCAGTTGTGTTACCAGTTTACATTTCCACCAACAGTGCAGGATCCTCACTAGTACTTGTTGTCTTTTTGATAATAGCCATTCTGATAGGTGTGAGATGATAATCTCATTGTGGTTTTGATTTGAATTTCCCTGATAATTAGTGATGTTGAGTGCCATTTCATGTACCTGTTGGCAATTTGAATATCTAACTTGGAAGAAAGGATTTAGGTCCTTTGCCCATTTTTAAATTGGATTATTTATATTTTGAATGTTGAGTTATATGAGTTCCGTATATATTTTGAATTTTAACCCCTTATCAGATAAATGATAAGCAATATCAGATAAATATTTAGCAAATATTTCCTCCCATTCCACAGGTTGCCATAATTGAATTTTTAAGTATACTTTGTTTTTTTTATATGTCTTATCTGTTCTTTGATCTTTTATTTCTCTTTTATATGTTCTTATGCCGTAGTTGGGTTTTTTTTTTTTTTATTGTTCTATTATTTCCTCTTTTATTAGCTTTTTAGTTAAGCATTCATTTAGGTTTTTTTTTTTACTAGTGTTTTCACCATAAGCTTAGAATGCTACTACCTTGCTATATACATGGGTAGAGTTTTGATACTTCCCTCATTCTTTTTTTTAAATCTTCACCTGAGGACATTTTTCCATTTTTGTTCGGATGGAGAGGGAGGGAGGGAGGGAGGAAGGGAGGGAGGGAGGGAGGGAGGGGGAGAGAGAGAGAGAGAGAGAAACATCTACGTGAAAGGGACACATCGAGTGGCTGCCTCCCGTACAACCCCAACCAGGGCCGGGGACAAACTGCAACCGAGGTACGTGCCCTTAGTGGGAACCGGGACCAGAGACCGGGACCACGAGCTGACGCTCTAACTACTGAGCCTAACCAGCCAGGGCTACTTTCCTCATTCTTAATGTTCTTTTTTCTTCTTTCAGACCCTTTGGAACAGATAGTCACCATGTTTAGATATTAGCAAGCACATATGTGTATGTCCGAATTTGAAAATGGCAGAGGGAAATAACAATGAAGAGGTAATTCACTTGAACAACTTTCACTGCCACCAGGGACAAGGTAAGTGTTGGTTCTCACTTTCTTTGTTTTTTCTCTTAGTATTGTAATTATATTTTTATTTATTTATTTAATTTTTTATCCTCACCTGAGGACATTTTTCCATTTTTGTTCAGATAGAGTGGGAGGGAGAGAAAGAGAGAGAAACATCGACGTGAAAGGGACACATAAAGTGGCTGCCTCCCGCAGAGCCCCAACCGGGGCCAGGGACAAACTGCAACCGAGGTACGTGCCCTTAGCGGGAACCAAACCCTTGTCTCTCTGGACTGCGGGCCGATGCTCTAACCACCTAGCAAACTGTCCAGGGCTACAGTTATATCTTCTGTAAAATGAACCTGTTTTGCACCGTGCAGAATCCAGAAACGTTTCATTTTTAGGCCTCAGCATCAGGTGTAAAGGGACTCATCAGAGTAGATTTTTGTGTCAAATGGTGATACCTGATGGCATGACTGAAGTTCAAGCATCTTTCATCACAAGTAGATTGATAAGCTATGAATTAATAGGCTAAAAAGAGCTATGGATGTCTAATCCTTGGATCTTAAGAGATTGGAGTTTGAGAACAGTGGCAGTTCTCTGTTTGAAGGAATGGTGACTGCAAAGGAATACTCCTTCAGATCTAAAAGGACTAAGACTGCTGCTAAAGCATTTACCAGAAGATACTGGTTTACCCTTATAGGGAATTTTAGGACATGCATTCTTTTGTTTTATAGTGTTTTAAATTTGGGGAAAGTCATGAATTCATAAAGGGAAGGAAGCCTGCATTTCTATACCTTCATTCCTAAATGCATATGAAATTTTCTGCTAAATCCTAATTCACATTTATACATCACTAAAAGAAAAAAATTTCATGCTGATGAGTAGGAAAAGATCATTTTTTGCAACTATAAATTTCATGGGAGAGGTTATACTTTTGTTGTTGTTTTTTCCCCATTGGTTATATTTTGTGCCTATGAAGATGACTTTTTTCTAGCAGAGAGTAAATTATATATATTTGGCTTTTAAAGCATTTAAAATTGAGCAAATTTTATTAAGCAAATAAATTGAGGAAAATAAAACTGCTTAAGGTATGTAAATTATGAGTACTACAAAAGAAATAATTGATTTTTTTAAAAAAGATTTCTTTAATAGTATATTCTAACTTGGTAGTGATTATAGCTCTAATTTATTGTGTTTCCGAAAATTTTTAATCTTAGCTATAATTTATATATATAATTTGTATGTATGTCCCAAATTTTCTTGAATATGTATAAATTAATGTTGTAGTTGTTTTTTAATTGAGTCTTAAATATACGTGAACATTTCTTTAAGAACAATAATTTTCTTTAGGGAAATCATTGACTTTGGAGGCGGTATTTTTGTTGTGTTTTCTTTAAAGCTCTAATTGACTTTATTAAGCAGTTTATGAATCAGGGAGCATCCCATCAAGCAACTAGAAGGGTGGTCCCTGGGGGTACGTTTTTCTGTTAGATAAGTTTTATGTATTCTGCACCCATCATGAGGATTTTTTTAGGCATACAGAGTTGTTTGTTTTTATTAGCTGTTTTAATAATTTTTATTACGTCAACCCCTATATGTTTTTTTGTAATTATCTTTATTGAGCTATAATTTACATATAATAAATTCACACATTTTAAGTGTATAGTTCAGTAAGTTTTGAAAAATGAATATACCCATATAACCATCACCTCAGTAATGTTATAGAACATCTCTATCACCCCAGAAGGATTCCTTTATGCCCCTTTGCAATCAGTCTTCACCTCACTCCTGGACTAAGGAAACCCCTGATCTGCCTTTTGCCACAATACAATTTCATATAAATGGAAGCATGTGGTATATTTTCTTTGTGCCTGAATTCTTCTGCCCAACGTCATTAATTTTGAGATTCATCCATGTGTTGCATATATAAGTAATGCAGTCCTTTTTAATTGCTGAATAATATTCACCTAAAATTCTATACCCAGTGAAAATAGGCTTAAAAATGAAGGTAAAATAAAAGTTAAAAGTACAAGAATGAAAAAGTTACATTATGCAAATAGCAGCTTCAAAAAATAGCTGGTGTGTCTATATATTATCAGGTAAAGTAGACACTTGAGCCAGAAGTATTAATAAAGACTACATAATGATAAAAGAGTCAATGCACTGGAAAGATAAAACGATTCAAGTCCCTACACACTTACTAACATGGTATCAAAATACACAAAGCAAAAATTGGCAGAATTAAGGAAAGAAATGAACAAATCCACAAATCATAATGGGAGATTTTAACATGTTTCTTTCAATAACTGGGAGAGAGCAAGCACACACAAAGATTTGTATGAATATAGAATATTGGAAGAGCATCTTCAACAAACTTGACATAGTAGACATGTGTGAAATATACCCAATGTATTTACCAAAATTGATCATATTTTGAGCCATGAAACAAGTTTCAAGTTTCAGAAGATTGAAATCATATAGATTATGTTCCCTAACAACATTGGAATTAAGCCACAAGTCAATTACAGAATATAATTAGAAAATCCCTATATGTGTGGAAAATAAGAATGCACTTCAAAACAACCCATGGTTCAAAGAAATCACAGTGAAAATTTGGAAAATTTTTGAACTGCAGTATAGTGAAAATACAATCTATTGAAGTTTATGAGATGCATCTAATGTCATGTCTTAAAGCAACTTACATGTGCATAAAAAAAAAACAAGCTAAATGTTAAGAAAATTAAAATGCATATATTGGATAAGAAGTAAAGCTGGGAAATTAATCATCTGTACCTGAGCTCTTCACTGCTAGTTGGAGTGTAAATTGGTACAGACAATTTGGAAAGTTGTTTGGCATTGTCTTCTAAAATTGAACATAAGCTTTCCATATATTCCAGCAAAGAACGTACCCAACTGAAATGAGTATACCCAGAGACATGTCTAAGAATGTTCCTAACAGCATTGTCCAGAATAGTTAAGACTGGAACGACCCAAGAATAAATAACTTACGGGTATAGTCATATAGTGAATTACATACAGCAAGAAAACTACTGCAACATGCAGCAACATGGATACATCTTGGACTTGTTATTTGTAAGAAAGCTAGAAACAAACAAATATACTCAAAAATAAGAAAATGAATCTGTGGAGCTAAGAGGCTCCTAAAGTGCTAGAAATGTTGTATTTACTGACCTTAGTGATGATGGTCCCACAGCTATGGACCTTTTGTATTAGTTCATGGAGTTATACACTTGATTCATAGACTTTGTTATAGTGTAATTTAAATACATACATACATATATGTGTGTGTGTGTGTTTATTGATTTTTTTTAGAGAGAGAGGAAGGGGGAGAGAGGTAGAAACATCAATGTGAGAGAGATACATCAGTCAGCTGCCTTCTGCACATCCCCTACTGGGGATTGAGCCCGCAACCCAGGCATGTGCCCTGACTGGGAATCCAACCGGGACTTCTCAATCTGTGGGACGACACACAATCCACTGAACCACACTGGCTAGGCTTAAAGTACATTTTTAAAAACTAATGTGTTTCCCGACTGGTTTGGCTCAGTGGTTGAGCATTGATCCATGCACCAAGAGGTCGCCAGTTCAATTCCCGGTCAGGGCACATGCCCAGGTTTGGGCCTGATCCCCTGTGGGGGGCATTGCAGGAGGCAGCCAATCAATGTTCTGTCTCATCGATGTTTTTATCTCTCTCTTATCTTTCCTCTCTCTCTAAAATCAATAAAGAAAAAATATTTTTAAAAATTAAAAGTTAATGTGTTGTCCAGTTGGTGTGGTTCAGTGGTTGAGCATCAGCCCATGCACCAAGAGGTCGCCAGTTCAATTCCCAGTCAGGGCACATGTCCAAGTTGTGGGCCAAATCTCCAGTGAGGGGCATGCGTGAGGTAACCTTTGATGTTCTCTTTCATCGATGTTTTCATCTTTCTCTCTCCCTTCCTCTCTCTCTAAAATCAATAAAGACCAAAAAAAATTTTTTTAAAGAAACTCTTTAAGAAAGTTAAATTGTTTATGTTAATAAATGCTATATGGGTGTTTGACTAAAACACTGAAATATGTTTATATAAATGATACCTAAAGCTATGTCTAAGGTGAGCATATTTTAATATTTTAAATATTAAACAAAAATTTACTATTTTTTAGTAACATTGTTTTCAGATTTATCAGTTTGAATGGCAGTGTTTTATTCCCTGGGAGGATTAGACATGAGGTGGATGGGAGGCCATGATTTCACTTTTAAGAAGTTGACAGATTTCATCAGCAGATTTTTTCAGCCTAATAGAGTAAGTTGATACTCTTGAGCAAAGTAATTGTCAGATTTTCTCAAGTGATTCCCAAAATGTGTTGGCAAAGATCAGCATGGAAATATTGCTCTTAATGCTTAGGTATGTGTGTCACTTGAGGCGATACCACTAGCCATGAGCTTGGCTTTAGACTTGACCCTTTGCATACCAAAACTGAATTAAAGGACTGAATGTGAGCCCTGCCGGTGTGGCTCACTGGTTGAGCATTGACCCATACACCAAGAAGAAGTCACTGGTTCGATTCCCAGTCAGGCCTCGTGCCCGGTTGTGGGCCAAATCCCTAGTGGGAGGCATGCAGGAGGTGGCCAGTCAATGTTCTCTCTCATCCTCTCTCTATTTCTCTCTCCCTCTCCCTTCCTCTCTCTCTAAAATCAATAAAGAAAAAAGTTTTAGAAAAAAGGACTGAATGTGATTTTGCCTACCTCCTGGCAACAGTGTTTTCTGCCTATTTTTAGACTGGATCAATCTCAGAGATGGACCCATCACCATATCTGACGACTCTGATGAGGAAGGGGTTCCAATGATGGTCACCCCAGCTCCTCAGCAACATGACGAAGAGGATCTGGATGATGATGTAATCTTGACAGAAGTGAGTTTTCTTAAACTTATCATTATGAGGCATTATTCCAAGTTAGTAATCCGATTCTTCAGCCACTCAGTAGTGGGTACTGGGGCCTTGTTGTAGGATAGTCGAGAGCACTGCTTGTGCTACACATGTAGCACAGCCCCCTCCATCCTTACTTTTAGAAGCCATATGTTTTCATGTTTCTGGGCTTAACTTCTCTGCACTGTTGCTTTATCTGACTATTCGTGTACTAGTCTACACTGTTGTAATTACTACAACCTTATAATGTGTCTTAATCTCAGGTAGCTCTCATCTCCCCTTGTTACTCTACATTTTTCAGAATCCTGAATATTTCTCTGTGTGTGTGTGTGTGTGCGCGCGCGTGTATATATATATATATTTTTTGGTCCTCATTCAAGTATATTTTTTCTATTTATCTTCAGATAGAGTGGGAGGGAGGGAGGGAGAGAGAGAGAGAGAGAGAGAAACATTGACGTGAGAGTGACACATCACCTGGTTGCCTCCCACACAACTACCACCAGGGCTGGAATGAACTACAATCGAGGCACATAACCTTAACCGGAATCAAACCCGCAACTCTTTGGTCCGCGGGCCGATGCTCTAACTGCTGAGCCAAACTGGCCAGGGCTTTCTGCTTATATTTTTATATAAATTTTAAGATCTTTTAAAATTTAGATAGATTAACCATAAATCCTATTGTTACAGCACAATTATAATACTGATCCTTTCTAACTAAGATAAAATTTTGTCAATTTAAAAGTCTGGTGGTTCTGCCATGGGCAGTTTTGCTCAGCGGTTAGAGCATCAGCCTGCGGACCAGAGCGGCCCGGGTTCAGCTCCCACTAAGGGCACATACCTTGGTAGCAGTTTGTCCCCGGCCCCGGTTGGGGTTGTGTGGGTGGCAACCACTCGATGTGTCTCTCTCACATTGATGTTTCTCTCATTCTTCCTTTCTCTCTCCCTCCAGCTCTATCTGAAGATAAATGCAAAAAGTGTCCTCAAGTGAGGATAAAAAAAACAAAAAGTCTGGTGGTTCTTATATTAATTTCATACTCAGTCATCTTATTTTTATTGTTTGTAGTAATCTTTTCAGTTGACTTTTATATTTCTTTTTTTTTTTTAATCCTCACCCGAGGACATTTTTTCATTTTGTGTTCAGATAGAATGGGAGGGAAAAAGAGGATGAGAGAGAGAGAGAAACATTGACGTGAAAGGGGCACATCAAGTGGCTGCCACCCGCACAACCAACCAGGGCCAGGGACAAACTGCAACCGAGGTACGTGCCCTTAGCGGAAATCGAACCCGGGTCTTTCTGGACCACAGGCCGATGCTCTAACCAATGAGCCAAACCGGCCAGGGCGACTTTCGTATTTCTTAAGGGATAATAGCTTATTTATCTGCAAGTAATAATACTTACAGTTTCTTCCTTATCAAATTATGTTAAGTGATAACCATCACTTAAGTAATAGTAGTAATGGATTAAGTAAAATAGCCACCGACATAAATGGGAATACTTTAATGTTTCTTTACTAAGTGCGATGGTGGCTTTTTTACTTGAGATAACTTTTTTTTTTTTTTTTAGTGTTTTTCTTTATTTATTTTAGAAAGAGAGGAAGGGAGAGGGAGAGAGATAGAAACATCGATGAGAGAGAACATCGACTGGCCGCCTTTTGCGTGCCCCCCACTGCGAATGGGGCCCACAACCTGGGCATGTGCCCTGACTGGGAATCGAACCGGCACCCTCTTGGTGCATGGGTCGATGCACTAACCACTGAGAACACTGGCCAGGGTGCCTCTCCTAACTTTTGATGGTTACCTTATTTCCATAAAACTGTCTTAAAACATTTATATTAAAGAGATAATTATTTCATTACTTCTTTGTGTCCTTGTTTTTATATTTTGTCATTATTTCATCTCTGCAGTGCTGATTTTCTAGTATGTGTAACTCATTTACCATTTCTTCTTTTTTTTTTTTGGTATATGCCCCTACTGGGAACCGAACCCAGGATTCTCTGGTCCGCAGGCCGATGCTCCAACTGCTGAGCCAAAACGACCAGGGCTTCTTTTTTCTAATAGTTAGGCATCTTTATATAGTTTCTGGGTTAGCTGTTTGTTATTATTACTCAACTTTGAACGCAATTGAAGTTTTCTTACACCAGTTCTTTATAGGCAGTTATGTTGGGAAAGGTCTCAAGCTAGCAGGAATTCTCCTTATGACAGAGAACGTGCAGGGGAGGGTGTTTGTACACATGTGCTTACATTTATTTAGCCTTTACTTTTTTTGTTAATCCTCACCCAAGGATATTTTTTTCACTAATTTTTAGATAGAGTGAAAGGGAGGGAGGGGGAGAGAGAGAGAAACATCGATGTGAGAGAGACATGTTGATTGGTTGCTCCCACACGACCCTTACTGAGGCCAGGGATTGAACCTGCAACCCAGGTACGTGCCCTTGACTGGGAATTGAACTGGAGATCCTTTGGTCCTTGGGCTGATGCTCTCACCATTAAGCCAAACCAGCCAAGGCTAGCCTTTACTTTGTACCACCTGGCAGAGGTGTCCAGTTCAGAGTTCTCTCCATCCTGTGTTTTGATTTTTTTAAAATAGAATCATTCTGTATATTGTTTTGCAACTTTCTTCATTAATGACATTTCTTTGGTGAGCTTTCCATTTCAATACATATAGGCTACTCTTTGGGGCAGGGAAGTTGGAGAGTATTCTGTAGAGCAGATAAACAGTTTACTTAACTATTCTCTCAGGGACAAATTTTAGAATGTCTCCATTTTTTTTCTTTTTATATTACAAGCATTGTGGCAGTGAAATCCTTGTATATGCCCCTTTTAGATATGTAAGGGGGTATAGGTAGGAAAAAAGTGACATTGATAGCCCTTGCCAGTTTGGCTCGGTAGTTGGAGCATTCAGACCCACGGACTGAAGGGTCACAGGTTCGATCCCCAGTCCCAGTTGGGTCATTTGGGAGGCAACCAATCATTGTGTGTCTCAATCATTGATGTTTCTCTCTCTCTCTCTCCCCCTCCCCCCTCCCTTTCCCTCTCCCTCTCTCCCCTGCCCCCCTCCATCCCTTCTACTTACCTAAAAAAAAAAAAAAAAAAAAATCAATGAAAAAATATCCTTGGGTGAGGATTACCCCCAAAAAAAGTGATATTGATAGAGCATAAGAACATACATTGTTTATTTTATTGATTTTTTAAAAAGAGAAATGGAGAGAGAGAGAGAGAAACATTGACGTGAAAGGGACACATCGAGTAGTTGCCACCCGCACGACCAACCAGGGCTGGGGACAAACTGCAACTGAGGTATGTGCCCTTAGTGGGAACCGAACCCGGGTTTCTCGGGACCGCAGGCCGATGCTCTAACCACTGAGCAAAACCGGCCAGGGCTACTTTTATTCTTATAGTGAATATTGTATGATCAAATTTCAGTGTTACGATAAGTGTGAAGAATAGGTTTTGTGGACAAGGGTGTTTTTGTTTCTTTCCTGTCCTATGTAGAAGCTGTATATAAATACATAAGGAGGCATAGACACAGGAAAGAAATTGAATTATTATTAAAATTTCATTTTTTCTTAGACAAGTAAACCTCAGACATCACGACCCAATCTCATCAAACCAGCTGCCCAGTGGCAAGATCTCAAAAGTTTGGGAGAAGAAAGGCCTAAAAAGTCTAGAGCAGCCTTTGAATCAAATAAGAACAACTATTTTGCAGTGTGTAACAGCTCATTGTTTAATTCTGGGGCACAGGATGATTCTGAGGATGACTACAGTGGATTTCTGGATCTTGGACCTCCTGGAGTTTCTGAATTCATTAAACCAAGTGGACAAACAGAAAGAGAACCCAAGCCTGGACCAAGTCATAACCAAGCAGCAAATGATATTGTCAACCTCGGATCAGGGCCAAAAATCTTTATCTGGAGAAAAAGTGACCTTCTTATTCCAGATAGCGATCCTTTGGACACTCAGAACCAGTCATCTGAAGACTCAGAGACAGACCTTTTATCAAACCTCGGAGAATCGACTGCTATCCTAGATGATCAGACCATCGAAGAAGACTGCTGGTTAGACAACCATCCTTACTTCCAGTCTCTAAACCAGCAGCCCCGTGAGATAACAAACCAGGTTGTTCCTCAGGAGCGGCAGCCTGAAGCAGAACTGGGTCCATTGTTCTATCAGCATGAGCCCCTAGGGCTGGCTTTTCCAAGGCCAGCTTTTCCAAGACCAGAACCCCAGCAGGATGGGATTCCAGGCCCCTCTTCTCCTCAGCCTGCCCATCCTCTAGGAGAGCTTGAAGACCAATTAGCAATAGACGATGAAGAGCCAGGCCCAGCCTTTCCACTACAAGGATCTCAGGAGCCCAATTTGGAAAACCTTTGGGGGCAAGAAGCTACTGAGGTAGACCAAGAAGTCATTGCACTATTAGTGAAAGAAACAGTAAGTTTTATTTTATTAAGTAAATAATTGTAGATACTGAATTTTCTTTTATTGCAGAAACATTGTGTGTATGGACTTCCTTTTTCTTTTTTTTTTTATCCTCACCCGAGGACATTTTTCCATTTCTTGTTCAGGTAGAGTGGGAGGGAGAGAGAGGAACAGAGAGAGAGAGAGAAACATCGATGTGAAAGGAACACATCGAGTGGCTGCCACCCACACAACCGACCAGGGCCGGCGACAAACTGCAACCAAGGTACGCACCCTTAGCGGGAACCGAACCCAGGTCTCTCAGGACCGCAGGCCGACGCTCTAACCGCTGAGCCAAACCGGCCAGGGCTGGACTTCCTTTTTCTAAGGGGTATATAGCTACTTTGAAAACATGTAAATTAAATCAGGATTTCTTAATCTGTTTTTAACCCCCCAGCAAGCCCTTTGGGATTCTAGCTGTAGATTATGGATAACCTGGTGCTGTCATAAGAGCAATCCCCCAGTTTTTAAAAAGGCATTGAGTTAATTCCAAAGTCAAACCCTTAAAGCAGGTTTGCCAAATTACCTAGAGCTGCACTGTCCAATGTGGTAGCATAATGTGGCTGTTTAAGTTTAAATGTCTTACAATTAATAAAATTTAAAGTTTTGTTTGCAGTGGCACCAGTCACATTTTATTTTATTTATTTATTTTTTTATCCTCAGCCAAGGACATTTTTCCATTTTTTGTTCAGGTAGAGTGGGAAGGAGAGAGAGGAAGAGAGAGAGGGAGAAACATTGACGTGAAAGGGACACATCAAGTGGCTGCCACCCACACAACCAACCAGGGCCGGGGACAAACTGCAACTGAGGTATGCGCCCTTAGCGGGAACCAAACCCAGGTCTCTCTGGACCACAGGCTGATGCTCTAACCACTGAGCAAAACCGACCAGGGCGGCACCAGTCACATTTTAAGTGCTTGATAGCCACATGGTACTGGACAGCTGACATATTAGAAAGCACACAGTAGAACATTTCCATTGTTGTAAAAGTTCTGTTGGATAACACTGATCTAAAAAGTGGTGCAGAGCCCTGGCCAGGTAGCTCAGTTGGTTAGAGCATCATCGGATACACCAAGGTTGCAGGCTCAATCCCAGTCAGTCAGTCAATGAATGCATAAATAAATGGAACAACAAATTGATGTCTGTTCCTCTCACTCTCACTCTCCCTCTCTCAAAAAAAAACAGTAGTACAAGGCTTTATGTCCTGGCTCCGCTACCCTTTGCTTTTTAATAGTCTCTTAACCCTTTTTCCCCCAGGTTTTTTTTTTTTTCATTTGTCCTGTGCTGCTTGAGGGTAAGCACTAGATTGTGCTTTATTTGTCTTTGGACTCCCTTTGGGCAGAAATGTTCAATATTTATTGAAAGAATGAAGGACATACAAAATGGGAGCAGAGGACCAGATGATCTCGAGGAACCTTTCTACATTCCATATTCTATGTAGACAGATAAATCAGGGCACCTCCTGTGGAATTTTAAGCCAGAAACAAACAGGCTTTATAGCCCTTTTCTAGTTTGTAGTCATTTATATTCTTTTTGACATCTGGTTTGTATTATAATTTGAAACCATTCTAGTGGCTGAAATATAATGATATTTTTATTCCTTTCCAGGAAGCAAGATTTCCAGATGTGGCAACTGGATATATTGAGGAAATAATTCATTTGAAGAATTACTATGATTTGAATGTGTAAGTATACCACCATGTCTTTTTTTTTTTAATTGTAGTAAAATATACAAAACATAAAAATTTATAATTTAACCATTTTTAAGGGTACAATTGCACTGAGCATATTCACATTTTTACACAACCATCACCACCATCCATCTCCAGAGCTTTCTCATCTTCCCAAACTGAAATTCCATATTAATTAAAAAAACAACCTCTCATCCTGGCTTGGCTCAGCAGTTAGAGCGTCGGCCTGTGGACCAAAGAGCCTCAGGTTTGATTTCAGTCAAGGGCACGAACCTCGGTTGTGGTTTGATCCCCAGCCCTGGTTGGGGTTGTGCAGGGGGTCAAGCAATATATGTTTCTCTCCCCCTCCCTCCCTCTGTCCTACTCTTAACCGAAAAGCAATGGAAAAATATCCTCGGGTGAGCATTAAAAAAAAAACAATTTCCCCTCCTCCAGCCCCTGGCACTCATCATTCTACTTTCTATCTCTATGAATTTGACTGCTCTAGGAACCTCATATAAGTGTAATCACACAGTATATGTCCTTCTGTGACTGGCTTGTTTCACTTAGCATTATGTCTTTTTTAATGATCCTGTTAGAAGAGTTCTAAGTTTAGTCAGATGCGGACTCTTTTTTTGTTTGTTTGTTTATCCTCACCTGAGGACATTTTTCCATTTTTTGTTCAGATAAAGTGGGAGGGGGAGAGAGGACGAGAGAGAGAAAAAAATATCGACGTGAAAGGGACACATCGAGTGGCTGCCTCCCACACGACCCCAACCAGGGCTGGGGACGAATCACAACTGAGGTATGTGCCCTTGGCTGGAATGCTCTAACCACTGAGCTAAATTGGCCGGGGTGAAAGTGGATTCTTAATGGTGGCTAATTTTCAGGGCAGCCTTCAGAGATCTCCATGAGCTATAGTGTTTATCACTTTGACCTAGAACAAAGAATTGCCACCAGTGACGGTGGTTTTAAAGGGAGATGTGCTCAGAATTCTTAACTAGGGGTGTTTCCACATGGCCATAATTATAATATGGGAAGAGGGGCTTTCTCCCTCACTGGGCCTCTGGTAATGTGTTTCAGTGGAGAGAGCATGTTGATAGGAAGAGGGAAGCTTAGAGAGAAGAGGCATCTGGGGCTTTTGGAAGTGATAATGAAGAAAAAGGTGTGGAGGTTTGCTGACCAGTCCTGGAGCAAGATGAGGAGGGGGCTTTGCAGTTGGGCCAGTGCTGAGGATCCTCAGGGTTACAGAGAAAGTATGCTTCCCTATTTTTTGGTCCCCAAACACTTGGGTGAGGAGAGGAGCTGGAGGTGAGTACTTTTCCTCTGTTCTCTTCTCGTTGTACCTGTCTTACTTTAGAGGTTCCACTATGGACTCTGAACAGGAGGAACCTGGAAAGAATGGAGTCAAGTGAGAATTATGGATGGGCACCTATGAGCAGGTGGAGTCAGGATCAGAGAAAGAATCTGCAGGATCAGGAAAATAGGGATGGGGGTAGAGGGAGCCCCGCTTGCCCTTTCTTCATACTGAAGTGACTCATGCTGCACACCACCCAGGCTGACCTTGCACTGTGGAATCTTCCCAGGAGCATAGTTTGTTGCCTTATTTGGTTGTTACAGCCTGAAGAGCCTTGCTAGTTAACATTTGTTAAATCTGGGTGTACTACATGTGTGTGTGTTACCTTATTCTCTGTATTCTCACTGGTGCAGTATTTTGTAGTAGTGATAAAGAGATAAGGCTATGGGTTTGGTGTGAAGAGCAAATATGATCTGTTCCTCAGCCTTGCAGTTGGCTAAATAAACTGTCACTCATGTTGCTTATAGGGATTGATATAACCATAGGGTTACAGAAGTATTCATGATTAACAGGAGGACTTTTATATTGTTTACTTATTAATTCTCTTAGGCAAACTATTTTAATTGTGAATGTGAATACACTTTTTTCCTACCCCTTATTTGTTATATAGTTTTTTGACAAATACATACTTTTTTGTTTTGTTTTGTTTGTTTGTTTGTTTTTGGTACGTGCCCCTAGCGGGAACTGAACCCAGGACTCTCTGGTCTGCAGGCTGACGCTCCATCACTGAGCGACAAATACATACTTTTCATCTAAATTCTCCAGTTCTGTAGTTTAACCACTAAGAATTTCAGTGACTTTGTTGCATTGACACTCCACTAATAGAAAAACTTAAGAGGGCTTTGCATTTATCAGTATGTTTATTGATTTTTTTTTTTCCATCCTCACCCGAGGACATTTTTTCATTTTTTGTTCGGATAGAGTGGGAGGGAGAGAGAGAGAGAGAAACATTGATGTAAACGAGATACATCAGGTGGCTGCCACCCACACGACCCAACCAGGGCCAGGGACAAACTGCAACCGAGGTACATGCCCTTAGTAGGAACCGAACCTGGGTCTCTCTGGACCGCAGGACGATGCTCTAACCGCTGAGCCAAACCGACCTGGGCTATTTATTGATTTTTAAACTAGCAAGCAAAAAAATAAAAATTCAGTGTAATTTTCTTTTGTTTGTCTATTTATTTGTTTTGTTTTTCTGATCAGCAAACATTTTGTTGTTGTACTTGATCTTCACCCAAGGATATTTTTTCATTAATTTTTGGGTAGAATAGAAGGGAGGTAGGGGGAGAGAGAAACATTGATATGAGAGAGACATGTTGATTGGCCTCCTCTCACATGGCCTGGACTGGGGCCAGGGATCAAACCTGCAACCCAGGGTTCAATTCTGACTGGGAGTCAAACCTGAGGCCCTTCATTTTTTGGACCTATGCTCTAACTGCTGAGCCAAAATGGCCAGGCTGATCAACAAACATTTTATGTTATGTTATGTTATGTTATGTTATGTTATGTTATGTTATTTGTGTTTTAATCCTCACCAGAGGATATTTTTTTCATTTATCTTCAGACAGAGTGGGAAGTGGGGGTTGGGGGAGAAAACATTGATATGAGGGAGACACATCAACTGGCTGCCTCCACAACCCCAACCAAGGCCGGGGAGTGAACTGCAACCGAGGTATGAGCCCTTGACCAGAATCGAACCTGCAACTCTTTGGTCCACGGGCCAACGCTCTAACTGCTGAGCCAGATTGGCCAGAGCGATCAACAAACATTTTAATTCCTTGATAGGTCAATTGTAATTTGTAACTGCGGATTTCATTTTTCAAACGTTGTGTTTGAATCAGTGCGCAGGTATGGGATTTGGAAGCAATGTGAATATAACATCATTTGTTTTTGCAGACTTTGTAATTTTCTCCTGGAAAATCCAGATTATCCAAAGAGAGAAGATCGAATCATTATCAACCCCAGTAGCAGCCTGCTTGCTAGCCAGGATGAGACAAAGGCAAGTATCATGCTCTTGTTTTGCAGTCTCTACCTGGAAATGCTTTGCTTTTTTCCATCATCTTTATGGGAAAAAAGTGCCTTGTCAGGACACATTTTTAAAGATTAGCCAGGATCCCCGGCCGATTTGGCTCAGTGGTTGGAGCGTTAGCCTGCAGACCAGAGAGTCCCAGGTTCAGTTCCCGCTAGGGGCACATACCAAAAAAAAAGAATAAGATTAAAGATTAGCCAGGAAAATAGGATTTCAGGATATATTTATACTTTAGTGGGATTTCCCAGTGTGAGCCACTTTGAATTCTGTATTTAACTTTTTTTATTGTAAATCTCTTTTCCCTTTTTCACAAAAAAATAAACAAATTCTCCATATCTTTAATTCAAAGTAAGTTCCTAAAATGAAACAAGCATTGGCCAGGACTTTTTGTATCATCTCAGTAATTTTTTTTAACATTGAAAATTAAAAACATGAAAAAATTTAAATATGTAGTAATGTTGAAAGATTTTATGTTGATCACCTATATACCCAGCAGCAGTACTGTTAAAAGTTAACATTTTACTTTGTCATGTGTCTATCCCTCTGTCCATCAGCATCTCTCTCTTATGTTTCATTTTATTATAATGCATTTAAAAGTAAATTGCCCTCGCTGGTTTGGCTCAGTGGTTGGAGCATTGGCCCGCAGACCAAAGAGTGGCGGGTTCTATTCTAGTCAAGGGCATGTACCTTGGTTGTGGTTCAGTCCCTGGCCGGGGTCATGCAGGAGGCAGCCAGTCGATGTGTTTCTCTCACATCGATGTTTCTCTCTCTCTCTTTCCCTCTCTTTCTCTTCCTCCCACTCTATCTGAAGATAAATGGAAAAATATTCTTGAGTGAGGATTTATTTTTTTTAAAAGTAAGTTGCAAAAACATCAGTATAGTGCCCCAAACATACTTCAGCCTGTAGATCATTGCCTAGTTCAGTATCTGTTCATAGTTTTGTTTGTTTTACCCTCACCCAACGATGTTTATTGATTTTGGGGGGAGGGGGAATCATTGATGTGGGAGGGAAACATCAATCAGTTGCTTCCCACACACGCCCCTAATGGTGATTGAACTCGAAACCCAAGCACATGCCCTGACCAGAAATTGAACTCATAACCTTTTGTTGTGTGGGGTGACACTATAACCAACTGAACCACTCAGCCAGGACTATTTATAGTTTCCATGTAAGATTTACATACAATGCATACACCTGTGTAACCAAATCCTGTATCAAAACATAAACAGTTTGATTTTTTTTAATCCTTACCTGAGGATATTTTCCTATTTATCTTCAGATGGAGTGGGAAGGAGGGAGAGAGAGGGAGAGGGAGAGAAACATGGACATGAGAGGGACACATTGTCTGGTTGCCTCCCACATGACCCTGACCATGGCTAGGGACCGAACTGCCATTGAGGTATGTGCCCTTGACCGGAATCAAACCCATGACTCTTTGGTCTGTGGGCCAGTGCTCTAACCACTGAGCAAAACCGGCCAGGGCAACAGTTTGATTTTTTAAATCTTAATCATTACGACCCTGGCTGGGTGACTCAATTGGTTGGGGCATTGTCCTGCACACTAAAAGGGTCGTGGGTTCAATTCCCGGTGAGGGCATATACCTAGGTTGCAGGTTCAATCCCCAGTCGAGGTGCATATGGGAGGCAACCAGTCAATGTTTCTCACATTGATGTTTCTCTCTCTCTTTCCCTTTGTTTCTCTCTCCGCTTCCTGTCTCTCTAAAATCAATAACCATTTCCTCAGGTGAGGATTTTTTAAAAAATCTTAATCATTATCTTCATTTGTGTTCCAAACGAGCATTTAGGGTAAGTGGTGAAGGAAAATATAGTTCAGAACTGCCTCATTGGGTCTGTGGCTCCATCCTTTTATTCCCCACAAATTTTTTGACTTATCTCTTTTACATATTTTGTAGCAGGAAAATTTAATTTTTCTAAACATTTTGTGGAAAGATGGCTGAATGATTGGGTTCAAATCCCCAGCTGTACCTTTTCACTAGGTCTGAGTGGTTAAACTAGTCTCCAGACTCCAGACAGCCATTTAATCTCTCTGAATCACCATTTTTACATCTCTGTTCAGGGCTGGTAATCTCCTTATGAGTAATTTTGAGTGAGATTATTATATTCTTTAGTAAGTAGTCTTTCAAATGATTTCACTCTGGCCTCTAATGTTGTGCCTCTCTCGTTTCAGTTGCCTAAGATAGACTTTTTTGACTATTCTAAATTGGCTCCTCTTGACCAGCGCTGCTTCATCCAAGCTGCTGACCTCCTGATGGCCGACTTTAAAATGCTCAGCAGTCAGGACATCAAGTGGGCCCTGCATGAGCTCAAAGGACACTATGCAATCACCCGAAAGGTGCTCTACTTGGTCTTCCTGGTGGGGTCATACCTCTTGACTACTTCTTCTTGTGATAACAGAGTGAAGAGTTCAGCTTGCGGAAATTGGGATGGTTTATGATGGCTAAGGAATTTGTCAGGGTGAAGATAAATAGAGGTATCTGCCGATCAGGAAGAACTGAATGAAAAGAAATAATGTATTAGAAGCAGGAAAGTTCTGGCTTAACGATAAAGACATGGAGGGTAATGAATTTTATTGTGGAATACAGGATGACTAGAGTATGAAAGATGAGTTCCAGCACTGCTCCTCTCTGATGTGCTTTTTGGCTTACGGCAGGCTGTACAGTCCTGCCCCAGGTAGCTCAGTGATCAGGTCCATGAGGCAGGGTCTGTGAAGAGCCCAGGAACGCAGCACTGCCGGGTGAGTGGTGGTCTGCCTCAGTGGGCAGCTGCCGAAAGCTCCCACTCCCACCTCCCTCCAGGGTCCTAGATAAGACTCCATTCGAGGGCCTCTGTTTCAAGACTTAGAAGAGTGCTGATCACTAGTGGGTAATGCAGACATGCCTCATTAGTGATGTCCACTGCACAGTGCCTCTTTCATGGTGGTCAGACAGGATAAAAGAGCACCAACATGTCTTTGGCTTTTTCTTCTTTCTCTCTTCTACCACTGTGAAATCCATTTCTCCTGCTAAAGTTCTTACAGTATACTGTTTTCCAAAGAACAAACAAACATGGAGTTATTTTAATAGTTAAAGCACCTACTGTGTCTTAACCTGAAAGATAATGAACCCCAGATGAATGTGAACTCATGCTAAGTCTAAGATCCTTCTACCTTTAGGTTGCCAAGAAGATCCAAGCAACTGTCAACTCCTGATTACAGGTTAATTTTAGGTAAAGTTACTCTGAAAGGAATATAGAGTTAGTGGTTTCTATTTCTGAATCACATTCCCAGGTTAGCTAACTAGGGAATACTTGTACTGTCACTGAAAAGTGAAGGAGCTTTCCCCAAAAAATAGTAACTGCAAAAAAGCTGGGACTCTTTTATCTTGAGGCCCTGCCTGGTATTCTGCTGCAGTGGTGCCTTACACCTTTTCTGAGCTCCCAGGGACCCCAGAGAAGTGAAAGCAGAAGACATTTCCTATGGTCTGGGGGTGAGTGGGTCCTTATTAGTAATGTCCCTGCCAAAGGTTTGATCATCCCATGGCTCACTCATTATTTGGGTGGGAGGTTGTAGCGTTTTGTGACTCAGTTTCCCTCATTTATACCCTCCTTACCCCTTTCCTTATATTTTTGGCCCTTTGTATCTTTTATGGTCTCTGCTTGTTTTGGTGAGTAGTTTGAAATTTTACATGCTATTTGAATGAAAGCAGGGCGTTTAAGGGAAAGTAGCGTTAGCTAGAATCTGGTTTGTTCAGTTAAAACTTAGAATTTCTCTCTGCAGTGTGCACATGGTGCACAAGAGTTCTGCCCTATAGAAAGTGACACTCATGTAGACAGGAATGTAGAAGGCACACCCAGAGACGTTTTGTAATTATAGCAATAACACATCTTTTCTGTACGTGCTGCTCCTCAAATATGACGATAGTTTAGGGCAAAAATGTTCACTGTGAAGACAGTCACATTTCCCTGGATTTTTTTTTTCACTTTTTATTATAAACATCAAACACATATTTTAAAAGAAATTATAATAAGTCCACCCCTACCATCACTCAGCTTCAGTAATTATCAACTACTGCCCAGTGTTGTTTCATCCCCCCACTACCTCCCTCCCAAACTGTTTTGAAGCAGATTCCAAGAATTATTTCATTTTCTCTTCAGTCTATAAGTTCTCACTTTCCCTTCCCCAGGCTCAAGTCTCTATCCATCTATTCCTCAGCTTTTATGTCATCAAATGCCCATTATAGTGTTGTTTTTTAATTCTTTTCCCCCACTTTTTGTTCAGATAGAGTGGGAGGGAGGAAGGGAAAGAAACATCGACGTGAAAGGGACACATCGAGTGGCTGCCACCCGCATGACCAACCAGGGCCGGGGACAAACTGCAACCAAGTTACATGCCCTTAGTGGGAACCAAACCCGGGCATCTCTGGACTGCAGGCCAACGCTCTAACCGCTGAGCCAAACCGGCCAGGACCTGAGTTTTCTTCACATAAAATTTAGTCTTATAGCTGAGTACAGACATGTGACTTTAAGATCAGTGCCTAAAGGTTGGTAGGGAACCCCTGAGGTAGTGGAAATCCCAGGAAAAAGAAACAAAGCAAGGAAGGAGTTACTGCAGCCATAGAGGATGTTGATGGAAGTAGAAAGGTAGCAAGATGAGTGTTGCCATTGGCTAGCTCCTGGTGGGGTTTCGCTGAACCTGTGAGCACATGGGGATGTCAAAGAGGGAGCTTTAGATCTGAGCTGACCTGAGTTCAAGTTCTAGCTTTAATGATGATTTGACTGGGGGTAAGTTCATTCTCTCTAAGCCTTGGTTCCCTCTGCTGTAAGATAAAGAACACTTCCCTCCGAGGATCACTGTGAGAATTGAATGAGATAAGGAGTAGGAAGGGCCATGTGTAGTACTAAGCTCCCAGGAGGTATATGTAGCAAATGGTAAATCCCTTCTAATTCCCAAACCTAGGATCTTGAAAAGGAAGGGGTAGGAAGTAGATTAAGGTAAGAGGTGATTCTTCCCTCTTCTGTACTAAAATACTTTTTCTCTTGTTGTCCTACCTTCTACAGCTCTCTCTAAAATAAACAGACCGGAATCATTAGCAACATCCTATAACACATACACATCCCTATTACCTTTTATTCAACAAATGAGTATTAAATACAAACTATGCAAGTGGCTGAGGATACACCCTGAGCCATGGTAACATTCTGTCTTCTAACATTCTAACATGTCTTCTAACGTGGTAACATTCTGTCATAGTCCAGTGGAGGATATAACATGAACCAGCATCAAACAAATAAGTATATAATTTCAACCATGATAAGTATTTTGAAAGGAAAATACAAGGTGTTTGGAAGGAGTGTAATAGGAGGACCAAAGGGGAACTACGAGGCTTTAGGAGGGCCTCCCTGGGCAAGTGACATTTAATCACAAACCTAAGTGTTATTTAAGTAGGGGTTCTGTAAGGGGTTATGAAAGATGATGGTATAATTTCCTGGGATGAAGAAAACTGTAGGAGAGCTAATTTGGAGGGAAAGGATCATGAATTCAGTCTGGGAAACATTGAATGACCAGCAAGTAAAACTAATTCATTGGGTGGTTGAATAGACACAAAAGGTGAGAAGTAGGAACTAGAGAGAGGATTTTGAGAGTCATCAGCAAATGGAAGGGGTAATCTCCCAGCTTGGATGAGGTACCTAAAGCCTATCAGGTAAGAAGGGACAAAGGCTGCCTTGAGGACTTCCACATGTAAAGACCGAGGAGAGGAGAATGGTAGAGGAAGAGCAGGCAGGGAGGAAGCAGAAGTCAGGAGAGTGAATGGTCAACTTTATCAATACTGAGAGATCAAGTAAGACAAGGACTAAAAACCAGGTGTTTAGCCCTGGCTGGTTTGGCTCAGTGGTAGAGCATCAGCCCTCGGACCAATGTGTCCCAGCTTCAGTGCCAACCAAGGGTACCTCGGTTGCGGTTCATCCCCGACCCTGGTTGGGGTCGTGTGGGAGGCAACCAGTCGCTATGTCTCATGTTGATGTTTCTCTCTCTCTCCCTGTCTCTACCTGAAGATAAATGGAAAAATATTCTCAGGTGAGGATAATAAATAAATTTAAAAAATAAAAGCCAGGTGTTCACCCTGCTGAATGTGGCTCAGTGCCTGAGTGTCGTTCCATGGATTGAGAGGTCCCAGTTAGATTCCTGGTTGGAGCACATGCCTGGGTTGCGGGCTTGATCCCCAGTGTTGGGCATGCAGGAGGCAGCCAATTGATATTTCACGTTGATGTTTCTGTCTCTCTAAAAAATCAATAAAAACATTTTAAAAGCCCTGACCGGTTTGGCTCAGCGGTTAGAGCGTCTGCCTGCGATCTGGAGAGACCCGGGTTCGGTTCCCACTAAGGGCACGTACTTCGGTTGCAGTTTGTCCCTGGCCCTGGTTGGTCGTGCGGGTGGCAGCCACTCGATGTGTCCCTTTCACGTCGATGTTTCTCTCTCTCTCTCCCTCCCACTCTATCTGTACATAAAATGGAAAAATGCCCTCGGGTGAGGATAAAAAAAAAAAAAAACATTTTAAAAAACCAAAAGGTGTTCAGGTTAGCCCTGTGTTATGAAGTAGATTCGCAAGTAGATAGGTGGGGTTCGGTGCTAGTTTAGAAGATGTTGGAAAGTTCATGGGAGGTGAGGTGATAAAACAACATACAGACAGTTCCTCTGATAAGTTTGGCTAAAAAGGAGGAAGAAGAAAGGGGGGCTGGTAGCTGAAAGGGGAAGGAGGCCAAGGGAGGAAGGGTTTTCTTTTTTTAAGATGGCAAAGACTTGAGCACATTTAAATGCTTATTGGAAAGATCTAAAAAAAGGGAGAAGTGGAAAGGTGTAGAAGAAAAGGGATTATCACTGGCATAAGAACTTTGTGCTCTGGGACAAAGGTGAAAGCAGTGAGGAATGTGCGGGGAGTGGAACAGGAGTGTTGGCAAGAGAAACACCATGTAGGTAATGCCTGTGAAGTACAACTCACTAAACATTTGTTTTGTGATTTAACCTGTAAATTATTCAAGGTCAGTTTGAGCAGTTTCTGTTTTCTTCCGTTGCCTTTTGTCAGCAAGCATTTTGGTTCTGCCATTGTAGCAGTTTATGAAAGAGAAAACAAAAATAGTTAAATGCTACCTGTTTATTTTGCCTCTACCTATTTCTGTAAGCCATGCAGGGGAGATAGCTGAAACTGAGTCAAAATGAGATTTGGAAATTGCCCATGTTTTACATATTCTTGTGTCAGATCTATAGAGGTAACCTTTCTCTTTCTCAATTTTTAGGCCTTTTCTGATGCCATTAAAAAGTGGCAGGAGCTATCACCAGAAACCAGTGGAAAAAGAAAAAAGAGAAAAGAAATGAATCAGTATTCTTACATAGATTTCAAGTTTGAACAAGGTAATGGCAAACTGTATAAATCTACTGTGCAGAACTATCCCCTTCCCACACATTTGGAAGGGGTGCCATGGTACAGCTACTTAGGGAATGTCCTCCAGATGAGTCCAAGGAGTGACCCTGATATGGACTGCTTGGACCAGCATATCAATATTTTTTAGAAAGTGGCTACAGTTGTCATCTTCCTTCTTTCTACTTAGGAGATACCATGACAGGGAAATTTAATGCAATGCTAGAGAATTCACTCATGGAAAAGTGTTTGCAGCACCCTTAAGCTTGGGAGAAAACTGGCCTTGGATGTTTGATGAGAATTAGCTTTATCACTAGTAAAAACTGTCTCTAGACTAGAGACTGATTGCTTACTGCTGAGGGGTCACTTATACACCGGAGGGTGTCTTCTCATGAAACAAAACAAACAACTCTGAAGTAGCCACTTGTTTATAAAATTTTTTTATTATTATTGATGAAATAACTGCTGAAAGCTCTTCCAGTCAGGTCTAATCTCCCCCAAAAGGTAAACTTGTTGAATTTTACAACAAATTTTATCTGCGTTGCTTATGTCCAAGAAAATCTTTTAGGTTCGATTCCCTGTCAGGGCACATACCTAGGGTTTCAGGTTTGATCCAGGCTGGTCCGTGGAGCAGTGCTGTCCTGACTTGACATTCTCACAAGTCTGTGGCAGACTGAGAAAGTAGGGACAGTGTGTAAGTGGTTTTTTCATTCAACTAAATGTGTTCACACTTTAGGCATCCCTAATGCACAATCATTTTATATTTATTTCTGACTTCCAGTAGTAGAGAAAGGAAAGTACCACACTGTAGGATGATCCACTCCCTTGTTGGACATCTCTGTCTTTTTTTTTTTTTATCCTCACCCAAGGACATTTTTTTCATCTTTTGTTCAGATAGAGTGGGAGGGAGAGAGAGAGAAACATCGATGTGAAAGGGACACATCAAGTGGCTGCCACCTGCACGACCCAACCAGGACCAGGGACAAACTGCAACCGAGGTACATGCCCTTAGAGGGAACCGAACCTGGGTCTCTCTGGACCGCAGGCCGATGCTCTAACTGTTGAGCCAAACCAGCCAGGGCAACATCTCTGTCTTTTAAAAAATTCTTTTTTAATCAAGTCAAAAGGTTACCTTCCTGAAATGTCCTGCCATGGTTGTAGCTCTTGTCTCTGAAAAGACTTGGAATCTGTCTATTGCCACCATCTTTCTGATTTTTTCTTCTCTGTGTGCCCTTCACTGATTTGTCAGTATCTCTTTGAAAGTTTGGGTGTACCAGGCTAGACAAAGTACTCCAAATAAGGTCTGCTGCCTAAAGACAACAACTGGGATTTAGATTCTGTACTTAAGTCTGTACAGACTAAGAATGTTAGCTTTGTAAAATCAAATATGTCCTACCTTTGGCTCACATTAAGCCCTGGTCTGTTCACCCAACTTGCTTTTTTTTTTTTATCATCCTCACCTGAGGACATTTTTCCATTCTTTGTTCAGATAGAGTGGGATGGAGAGAGAGGAACAGAGAGAGAGAGAAACATCGATGTGAAAGGGACACATCGAGTGGTCGCCACCTGCACAACCAACCAGGGCCGGGGACAAACTGCAACCGAGGTACGTGCCCTTAGCGGGAACCAAACCTGGGTCTCTCCGGACCGCAGGCCGATGCTCTAACCGCTGAGCCAGACCAGCCAGGGCCCAACTTGCTTTTAAGTCACTAATCTTTCTCAGTTTTGATGCAGCTTATATTTTTTCCTGTTAACTTCATCTTCCTAGTTTTAGCCCATTGTTTCAGGTATACTCTTTTTAATTTTAGATTCTGGTTCTTATACTACACTTAATAGATCATTGTTAAGGACACTGGAAGTTAGAAAATATACTTGATTTACATTAGTAGTTTAATATTTATGACTTACAGATACACATATCATTTTTTAAAATTCTTGCCTGAGGATATATATATATATATATTTTTTTTTAATCCTCATCCGAGGACATTTTTCCATTTTTTGTACAGACAGAGTGGGAGGGAGAGAGAGGAAGAGAGAGAGAGGGTAACATCGATGTGAAAGGGACACATCGAGTGGTCGCCACCTGCACGACCAACCAGGGCCGGGGACAAACTGCAACCGAGGTACATGCCCTTAGCGGGAACCGAACCCGGGTCTCTCCGGACCGCAGGCGGACGCTCTAACCGCTGAGCCAAACCGGCCAGGGCTGAGGATATATTTTTATTGATTTGAGAGAGAGAGGAAGGGAGAGGGAGAAACATCGATATGAGAGAGAAACACTATTGGTTGCCTCTCACATGCACCCTGACCGTGGATCAAACCTGAAACCTTAGGTATGTGCCCTGACAGGGAATCGAACCGGTGACCTTTTGGTGCACGGGACAGTGTTCAACCAACTGAACCACACTGCTCCCAAACTTAGGGATAAGGTTGCAGGATATAAGGTCAACCTACAAAAACCAATTATATTTCTATATACTGACAACATATGTAATCAACATTAAAAATACACCACCATTGCCCTGGCTGATTTGGCTCAGCAGTGGAGCATCGGCCTGTGGACCACTGAATCCCATGTTTGATTCCAGCCAAGGGGACATACCTTGGTTGCAATTTGTCCCCAGCCCTGGTCGGAGTTGTGCAGGAGTCAACCAGTTGATGTGTCTCTCTCATGTCGATGTTTCTCTCTCTCTGTCTCCCTCTCTCTCTACTTGAAGATAAATAGAAAAATATACTCGGGTGAGGATAAAAAAACAACATACAACACCATTTACAGCTCCTCCCCAAATTAAATACTTAGGTGTAAATCTAACAAAACATGTATAGGACTTATATATGAAAACTACAAAACTGAAGAAAATCAAAGAAGATATAAATAAATGGAAACACATACTGTGCTCATGGAAGGCTCAACATAGTAAAGATATAAATCCTCCCTTAATTATATACAGGCAAACTTCATTTTATTGCACTTCCTTTTATTGCATTCTGCATTTTCATCAACATTGAGGCAAGACCCTCCACCAGCAAAAGGATAACAGCTTGCCGAAGGCTTACGTGATAGCTGCCATTTTTTAGCAATAAAGTGTTTTTAAATTAAGGTATGTACATATTTTTAGGTATAATGCTATTAAATTTAATTAACTATAGTATAACGTAGATAGAATTTTCATATGCACTGGGAAACCAAAAGGTTTCTGTGACTTTGTTGTGGTATTCACTTTATTGCTGTGGTCTGGAACTAAACCAGCAGTCTCTCTGAGGTATGCATCTACAGGCTCAATGTAATTCCTATTGCATCCCAACAAGATGTTTTGGTAGATAGAGGTAAGATTATCCTGATATGGAAAGGCATGTTACTAGAATAGCTAAAATAATTTTTAAAGTGAGGAAGGTAGGACAAATCAGTCTACCCGATTTCAGGATTTATTATAGAGCTACAGTGATAAGACCAGGTGGTGTTGACAGAAAGGTATACACGTGGATGGATGGAAAGGAATAGAGAACAAAAAACTAGTTTTCTAAATAATAAATTTTAATTTTTAAAAACTAGTGAGAATGAACAAGAAAAAAAATGTATCAGGAATCTGATATAGTAAATATTGATAAAAAGATTTATAAAAGATGGACTTTTGTGGGTAAATAGAAGATCTGGATGGAGTAGACACTTTTCCAGAAAATGAAAATTACCAAATCAAAAGAAATATAAAACCTGATGAACAGACCAATTTTACATGATGTGATACTTATCATTCTGTTTATCTTTTATATCTATTGTAAATCCAGGTTTTATTTTTTCAGCTTTTCTATTTGAAATCCTCAAGATAAAAAGTTTAAAAACATACATAAAACACATGTGCACCTACCAAAATGGCTAAAATTAAAAACTGACAATACCAGGTGCTGATGGGGATGTGGAATGACTGAGACTCGAATACATTGCTGGTGGAGGGAAAGTAAATTGTAAGAATCACACTGGAAAACTGGCACCGTTTTCTAAAGCTGATCCAGCCATTTCATTCCTGTGTGCTCGGCTGAATTGAAGACATATGTTCAGTAGCCCAATTTATACTAACCCCAAACTATAAACCCACCTGTCCTCCATAGTAGAATGGATAATAAACTGGTATATTTACACAGCACAATACTTTCGGGATAGGAGACAGATTCCAATTGGTGTATAAAACGGAGAAAAAACAAAGTCAAAAAGTGCATGTGGGTTAGGGGATGGAATAGAGCCCAATTTCCCCAAATGGTGGCACATACAAGAGAGGAACAAAGTGTGCCTCTAGAAAGCAGTTGGGACCCAGGCCACAGAAGACTGGAATGGCTGGCCTGGGTTCCTAACAAACAGTTGTCTGCATGATAATTACATTGTCATATCTTCTAGGTGACATAAAAATAGAAAAGAGGATGTTCTTTCTGGAAAATAAGCGGAGACATTGTAGGTCCTATGACCGGCGTGCCCTCCTTCCAGCTGTGCAGCAAGAGCAGGAGTTCTATGAACAGAAAATCAAAGAGATGGCAGAGGTAGGAAAAAGTGCCTGGAATGTGTTTCTGAGATTTGGTTTGCTATTAGTATAGAACTACCTTTAAAGATCTGCCTTTTTTTTTTTTTTCCCTAATCCTCACCACAGGATATTTTTTCATTTATCTTTAGATAGAGTGGTAGAGAGAAAGAAACATCGATGTGAGAGAAACACATAGATTGGTTGCCTCCTGCACAACCCAGACTAGGGCTAGGGACCAAACTGCAACTGAGGTACGTGCCCTTGACTGGAATCAAACCCAAGACTCTTTGGTCTGCGGGCCGATGCTCTAACCCCTGAGCCAAACTGTCCAGGGCAGTTTGCCTTTTCTTTTATATGATTGATTTGAATAAATTGTTATGCTTTTAAAAGGAAAACTGGGCCTGGCTGGTGTGGCTCAGTGGTTGAGCATTGACCAATGCACCAAGAGGTCACCAGTTCGATTCCCAGTCAGGGCATATGCCCAGGTTGTGGGCCAAATTCCCAGTGAGGGGTATGCAGGTGGCGGCCAATCCATGTTCTCTCTCACTGATGTTTTTATCTCTCCCTCTCTCTTTCTCTCTCTCTAAAATCAATACAGAAAAAAACATTTTTAATTAAAAGGAAACTGGGATTTGTAATGATACTCACTAAAGTTCACAGTTTCATAAATCAGATTAATGGTAGAGAATTTTAATTGGAATCTAGCACATATTTCTGTTTGACCTCCCTCAGCCTTTAATGGTGGAGAAAAACTAGAGAGAAATGCCATTGAATTCTTTAATTCTTCCAAATATACCATCAAGTGCCAGTCAACCAGAATATGTATATTAGTTGTTTAATATGTATTTTCTAGACCAGCAGCTCTGAAAGGCTGACCCATGAAACACTGGCTTCCCAAAAACGTTTTTTACTAATTTTTTTTTTTAGGAGAGGAAGGGGTGGGGGGGGGAAATAATGATGTGAGAGAGAAACATCAGTCAGTTGCCTTCCACATGTGCCCCAACTGGAGATTAAACCTACATCCCGGGCATGTGCCCTGACCAGGAATCAAACTCATGACCCTTTAGTCCATGGGACAATTATTCCAACCAACTGAGCCACATTGGCCAGAGCCCCAAGACTCTTTAGAGGTTGTGCAAAGTCAGATCTCTTATAATAATGAAAAGACGTTATTTGCCTTTTCACTGTGTTGAATTTATACTGACAGAACAAAAGCAATGGTGCCTTAGCATGAGTCAAACAAGAGACACCACATTGTACCAATAATCATTATTTTCTTCATTACCATGCACTCACATTTTTTCAAAAAGGCAGTGTCACCCTGGCCGGTGTGTCTCAGTGGTTAGAGCATCAGCTCGTGTACCTAAGGGTTGCAGGTTCAATTCCCAGTCAAGGGCACATACTTGAGTTGTAGGTTCATTCCTGTCCTGGTTGAGGTACATGCAGGAGGCAATCAATCAAAGTTTTTTTGTTTCTTTCTCTTCCTCTCTGTCTCTCTCTTTCTCTATCTCTGTCTCCCTTCCTCCCTCTGCCTCCTTCTGTCCCTCCCTTCCACTCTAAAAAAAAGTCAGTGGAGCCCTGGCCAGTTTGGCTCAGTGGTTGGAGCGTCAGCCCACGGACCAAAGAGTCAAGGGTTTGATTGTGGTCAAGGGCACATACCTCAGTTGCGATTCAATCCTCGGCCCTGGTTGGGGTTGTGCAGGAGCCAAGCAATCGATGTTTCTCTCACGTGCGCTCTCTCTCTCTCTCTCCCTCCTACTCTAAAAAGAACATTAGTGGAAAAAGATCCTTGTGTGAGGATCAAAAAAAGGGGAGTGGGGGACAGACAGCCCAGCCAGTGTGGCTTGGTGGTTGAGCGTCAACCCATGCACCAAGAGGTCACCGGTTTGATTCCTGGTCAAGGCATATGCCCAGGTTGTAGGCCAAATCCCCAGTGCGGGGCGTGCAGGAGGCCACCAAGCTATGTTCTCTCTCATTGATGTTTCAGTCTTCTTTCCCTTCCTCTCTCTCTAATAGCAATAAAGAAAAAAAAAATTTTTTTAAAAGGACAACTTCTCCAAATTTCTAATTTCTGCTTAAGATCCAGAATTTTCATTGGCCACAAATAATCACTTCATTCAGTTTTGAGAAAATGTCTGCCAAATACCTAATTTTGAATAATCAGTTTTTCTGTCAGTCATTTTTCACATAAAAATGTAGTCTGTTAAAAAAAAAAAAAAAAAGTGCCTAATTTAGCAGCTTGCAACTCAATGGCACAAGGGCTTTTCCTTGAGACAATCATCATAGTCAGGGTGCATCAGAAATACAGCATATTTTTTCCCATTTTGTCAGAGTATTGAAAAGATGATTTTGAGGGTCAAAATTTGATAAAAATAAATTTTAAACTGCTAAACCACATGACTAAAAAGATGTCTTAGTAACAGTTATTTTATGTCTATGGAAATAAATCTAAATGGATTGTGGAATCTACTAAATTTGTTTCTGCATGTCTGTTTTTTGTTGTTCCTCAGCATGAAGACTTTTTGCTTGCTCTGCAGATGAATGAAGAGCAGTATCAAAAGGTATTTTGAAAATTCACCTAATTCATTTATTCTGGTATTTTTCATGGGCTCTTTTCTCTTATCACATTTCCTGAGCATTTTGATGACACATTGGTTCCTATAATCTTCTGTTGATCTGAGTTTGTAACCACATTATGGTCAGGCACTTGAAACATTGTTGCTCTTAATAGCAGACAGAATGAGAATTGAAGGGATAGAAATGTTCTGGGCATCGCCTAGAAGCTCAGCTGGCATGGCTCAGTGGTTGAGTGTTGACCCATGTACCAAGAGGTTTGTGGTTCTATTCCTGGTCAGGGCATATGCCCAGGTTGTAGCCCCAATCCCCAATGGGGGGCATGCAGGAGGCAGCAGCCAGTTGATGTTCTCTCTCATTGATGTTTCTCTCTCCCTCCCTCTTGCTTCCTCTCTCTCTAAAAAATCAATAAAAAAGAAAAATTTAAAGATAGAAGAAATTTTAGAACTTAGAATTAGAAGGCAAAGATCTGTATAACCTCAGGGCCAGATGGGCCTTTCCTTACATGATAGGAATGTACTTGTGATTGCTGCTGTAGTTAGCTTCAGTGGCTCCTTGAAATAAAGTTTGGGTTGAGCCCTGGCCGGTTTGGCTCAGCAGTTGGAGCGTCAGCCCACAAACCAGTCACAGGTTCGATTCCAGTCAAGGGCATATACCTCAGTTGCAGTTCGTCTCCGGCCCTGGTTGGGGTCGTGTGGAAGGCAGTCAGTCGTCGATGTGTCTCTCTCACATTGATGTTTCTTTCTCTCTCTCTCTCCCTCCCTCCTACTCTATCTGAGATAAATGGAAAAATATCCTCAGGTGAGGATTAAAAAATAAAGTTTGGGTTGGGACATGATCTTCTCACACTCCTATCTTATAACAAGAGAAAAATCCAACTTTTTTTTTTTTTTAAATCCTCACTCAAGGACACCCTTGCATTTATCTTCAGATAGAGCGGGAGGGAGGAAGAGAGAGAGAGAAACATCGACATGAGAGAGAGACATTGAGTGGTTGCCACCCACACGACCCCAACCGGCCTCGGCAGGAACCGAACCCGGGACTCTGGTCCATGGGTTGATGCTCTAATCACTGAGCTAAACTGGCCAGGGTGAAAATCCAACTTTAAAAAAAAAATACATTCCCAATTTCTGGGATGATACATGGAGGAATCTCCAAGGTTTGTGTTTTTTATTTTTTCCTTTATTGATTTGAGAGAGAGAGGAAGGGAGAGGGAAAGAGAGAAAAACATCGACGAAAGCTATCAATTAGCCACCTGTGTGCCCCCCCACTGGGAAATGGGCCCACAACCTGGGCATGTGCCCGGACCAGGAATCGAACTACCTCTTGATGCATGGGTCAGCGTTCAACTGCTGAGCCACACTGGCTGGGCAGAAAATCCAACTTTCAAGGCTTTTTACTTAACATCTGTCACGCCTCTGACCCTGACTCTTATAATCATGTTAGCAATATAATCTGATAGCAGATAGCATAGTTCTGCTGGCAGCATGAAATTCATGAATATGATAACATTAAACAAAGGATGACACCAAAAAATACCAAAAAAAGTGAAAATCTCACTTTCTTCAACTCTATTAATATTTGTACTGGCGTCTTGAGCTATATTTATACCGCAGAAAACAGTTCATTGTTGTTTTGTGGCTTCTAGGGGTTGCTCTTTACCTCTGCATGCAGGTGGGGTGGGGGAATGTGAAAGCTGCTGGCCTCTACTTGAATGTGGGGACTTTCACGTGTGTTTGTGATGACCTGCAGGACGGCCAGCTGATTGAGTGTCGCTGCTGCTATGGGGAATTTCCATTCGAGGAGCTGACTCAATGTGCAGATGCTCACTTGTTCTGCAAAGAGTGTCTCATCAGATATGCCCAGGAGGCAGTCTTTGGATCTGGAAAGGTAAGAACTGTGGAATACACCCATCTGTGGGAAACATTCAGAATCTGAGGAGACCACATTTACAGACAAATGTAAATACCTCTTGGAAGTGCCTTTTCTGGAGTGAGGAAAAACTCTGCTAAGACGTACTAATGTGTGTGGTGATTCCTAGACAGTCCTTATATGTGTGATTATGTTGGTTCCAAACACAGCAGATTTCTTTTGAGGGAGTGGAGTTCTTCCATGCGCCCATCATCCCATGCTATGGGAGCACGTGTTTCTTCCCTCATCTTCCTGTCTGTAACAAAAATGAGGGATGAACTCAAACAGAGAGAATCTTGCAGCCTGTTTGAATGTATGGTAGGTCAAATTAGTAATTTTTAACTGATTTTTAAAGGATTTTATAGTTGTATTAAAATCAATAACTATTCTATACAAGATCATATTTCTCCTTCCAGAGTCAGTTTCTCATGACACTAGCATAACACAATGCAAAAAGGAGTTTTGTTTTCTCTTGATGAATACTTAAAAACCAAAATTGCTTTTCTTTTTTTTTTTATCCTCACCCAAGGACATTTTTGCATTTTATGTTCAGACAGAACACAGGAGGGAGAGAGGGAGGAAGAGAGAGAGAGAAACATCAATGTGAGAGAGACACATCAACTGGTTGCCACCCACATGACCACAACTGGGGCTGGAGACAAACTGCAACAAGGTACATGCCCTTAGTGGGAACTGAACCCAGGACACTGGTCCACTGGCCAACGCTCTAACCACTGAGCCAAACTGGCCAGGGCCCAAAATTGCTTTTCATAAACATCCAACCAATAATCAAATCACTCGACATCAATTATTATAAAGTCAATTGTGGTTTAGTCAAGGACTGAGTAACAATAATGAGAAGAGTGGTTGTGATTGGCAGAATTATGTCCCTCTTCCCTCCAAAGATGTCCTCCTTGTTATCCCCAGAACCTATGCATATGCTACCTTACATGGCAAAGGGAAGTTAAGGTTGCTAATCAGATTACCTTGAAATAGGGAGATTATCCTGGATTATCCAGGTGGGCCTAGTATCATGACAGTGGTCCTTAAAAATGGACAAGAGGAGCAGAATTGGTCAGAGTGCTGTGGTAAGTGGCTTTGATGATGAAGTCCAGAGCCCTCTGGTCCAGCTGTTCCAAAGACTGTCCTTTCTCCTGGAAGAGTTTTAGTCACCTGACTCCAGCTAAAGGGGGTAGGAACTAGAGGCTTTTTAAACAGTCCTCCAGTTTTTAGTTTATATTTCTGTCAGTTCCCTCTCCTCCTACCACGCACATCTGCCTTCCAAAATGTCTATACCTCCAGCCTTCCCAGGGGCTGTTAGGGAAACCAGCTTGCTGCTCAGTATCTCCTTTTCAGACACTGAGCTGTGACCTTCCCCTTCCAGTCTGCTAAGCCTTTCACCCTTCCTCATCCACTTCCATCATCGTGTATTGTGGTTTGGGCTGACAGAGGTCCTTTGGGGGAATCAAAAATGGATTTGTGTTTTTGTTTCATGGTTTCCTTGTTGTTTTGAGTGTGGCTTCCCAGAGAAGAGAGGACAGAGAGATCTTTATCATCTCAGAACCTGTGTTCTTAACCATGATTTATTTGCTTTAGATGCATTAAACCAGTGAGGCTTTTCATTTTTCTGAAACTTGGTTGAGTTTTTTTTTTTTCTTCTCTTTGCCTCCTGACCTTATCATCTTAGTCAGAGCTCAGCTGCATGGAAGGCAGCTGCACATGTTCATTCCCAACCAGCGAACTGGAGAAGGTGCTTCCCCAGACCATCCTGTATAAGTACTATGAGCGGAAAGCTGAAGAAGAGGTCGCTGCAGCCTACGCTGATGAGCTTGTCAGGTGAGTTCTCAGAGTCAGAGAGTGTCATCTATCAACTCATTCTCCATTAGGAAGGCTACTTGAGCACTTCTCTCAGGTGATGTAAATTCTGTAACAAAGCTGTATTTTCCAGGTTTTCTGGCATTTTTTGCTGAGCAATAAAATAATACTTTTATTAATGGAAAAATCTGCAGTTCGTATTTTTGCTACATCCTTTGCATTTCTTACTCATCTGTTTTATAGGTACAAACATTGGGCTGGAGGAAAGGTGACATTTGGGAGGAGTTCTCAGAAAGCTGTTTATTGAATGGTTTGCACTAAGGCAGGGCCCAGAATGGTATCTGCATTTCCTAGTGAGAGCTAGCACAAAAGAGAGCCTCAGTCCATATTTTAATGAAAAGTAAGGGAGAAAAGGACATGTGGCCATCCAGCTGAGAACTCCATTGTAGTATGAACAGTCACATGGAACCACATCAGGGTTTTACTATTCTGAGTAACATTCCTTCTGCCGTTTTGACTCTAGGTGCCCCTCCTGTAGCTTTCCTGCTCTATTGGACAGTGATGTGAAGAGGTTCAGTTGTCCCAATCCTCGCTGCCGAAAGGTAGGAAAGCAAATTTTTTTCTACATTTGTATTTGAATTATTGTGTTATGAGTTATCCTAATGGCACGAATATCTACTGATTATCTTTGTGCTGACCTATGAGAAGGGTTTGAGTGCTCTTTTTATTATGAAAGCAAATGAAGATCAGTACTTTGTGAATGGTGGTTACAGAGATGGGGGCCACTTGTGGAACTGCAATCACAAAGTTCTGGATCTCCGTTTTATGCCGTCTTCCTGTATTGTAATTTGAAATGTGAAGAGTTTTGTGTTTCTTCCACAGTGCCAGCATTATTCTTGGTTCTCCTTCACCATTCTGTTATGCTCAAATAGTTTCATACCCTTCCAATTTCAAAGTCCTAACCTCACTTCTTTTATTAAAGAACTAGGCATCATAGTGTCATCTGTTATGTCTGGTAGATTATTCACTCAGCTGTTCTCATAAGAACTGATTGTGTCAGGTGAGACCAAAGCTATTCATTCAGTCACCTCACTGTTGAAAATCTTTTTAACTAAACTCCTGTTCTGTATACTAAGAATGTCTTAAAATTTGTTGACTGTCAGAGTTGTTGTTTGTTTTTTTATCCTCACTCGAGGACGTTTTTCCATTTTTTGTTCAGATAGAGTGTGTGGGGGAGAGAGAGAGAGAGAGAGAGAGAGAAACATCGACGTGAAAGGGACACATTGAGCAGCTGCCACCCGTACGACCAACCAGGGCCAGGGACAAACTGCAACTGAGGTGCACGCCCCTAGTGGGAACCGAACCCACGTCTCCTTGGACCACAGGCCAACGCTCCAACCGCTGAGCCAAACCAGCCAGGGCAAGTTGTTTTTTTTAAAACTGATTTTTAGAAAGAGAGAAACATTGATTTGTTGTTCCACTTATTTATGCATTCATTGGTTGATTTTTTTTTTTTTTATTGATTTGAGAGAGAGAGAGACAGAGGCAGAGAGAAAGAGAAACATCGATTTATTGTTTCATTTATTTATGTATTCATTGGTTGCTTCTTTTTTTTTTTTTTTTTTGGTATGTGCCCCTAGCGGGAATCGAACCCAGGACTCTGGTCCACAGGCCGACGCTCCAACCACCGAGCCAAACCGGCCAGGGCAGGTTGCTTCTTATATGTGCCCTGACCAGAGATCAGACCCGCAACTTTGGCATATCAGGATGATGTACTAACCAACTGAGCTACCTGGCCAGGATCCTTGGTTGATTTTTGTATGCGTCCTGACCAGGGATTGAACTTGCAACCTTGGTGTATCAGGGCAACTCTCTGATCGGACAGGGCAAGCCACTTAGAGTTTTTAATGAATATTGGCATCCATTTAGACAAGTATCTAAAATAGCATGATCAGAATTTAATATTATATCTCTGCCTGAAATGAAAGTAGATATTGGAAAAGGAAGAAAGAAATTAAACCAGTGGACTAAAACTTTATTTCTTTTGTTTTCAACATTAACATTTCTGTGTAAAATATGGGAATATTCTTATAACTGATGTGTTCATTTAATAATTTGTCCTCCACCTTAGGCTGTTGCTACAACAATTGTTCCAAGAGTCCCTGGCATCTTGGAATTAAGAAAGTGGAGTGAGTAACTGACTGTCCTGAGATACACAGAGCAAGGAAGCAGTAGCCAAGGGAAGGAAAGGGTGGGAAGGAAGTGAAAGTGAAGATGTTGGAATGTTCTGGGTCCAAGGAGCAGTAGTATCCTGGACACTGACTGGTTCTGAGAGTGTGAAGGAAAATATTCATGAGGTAGGTGAGGCTAGAGCGATACGGCCTCAACACCATTCTGAGGTGGAGGGACAAGGGGAGTGAAATATCAGGGAAATCTGTTCTGCTATTGAGTGAAACAAGTAAGAGATGTGTATCGGCACCACCTCATCTGGAGTCTCTGTGAATTGCTAAGATGGAGCTGGGAACTACATTTTCTGGTATGATTCTAAACTGGACCATTATAAGTAGGCATGAGGGCACACACATAATTCTGAAATAGCATGCCATGAATGTCAAGAACATTCAACATGGGATGTCAGTGGAAGCGTCCCAGAGATCCTAAGATCCTAGGCAAAACCTGCAAATATTCTGCTTCCTGTCTGTGGGAGACATATACTTGGAGGTGACCATGTAGCTTCTTTTGGCCAATGAAATGTGAGTGTTGGTGAAATAGTCAGAATAGGCAGCCTCAGAGCCTTCTTCCCTAACTATAACACTGATTCATCGGTACATGGACCAGTTCCCTCTGTGAGAAATCTAGAAACCAGTTAAGAGGCTCTTACACTCCAAACAGTGTAAAGCCAGCTGCAGTGAAGCCTGTAGGAAATTGATGGAATGAACTCACCAGAGCCCTCCCACCGGCTCAGTTGGGAGGAAACTCACAACTCCTACCTTCTCCCTGGGGAGTGAATGAGAAGACTGGAACATATATCTAACTTTCAGACTTTTGTCCTGAATCCATCTTTCCTAAATCCAGCTTTCCTGATAGGAAATGGCACCAGGTTGGGGACCACTGAGAACAAAGGCAATGGTTTGAACTAGCATGCACTCACTCTCCATTGCCATTCCTCTCTGCTTGGTGCGAGAGAAAACCCCCAACTCCTGGCTTCTCCCTAAAGAGGGAAAGTGTTGGAGTGTGTGTCCAGCATTTCAGCTATTGGAGGACTGTGCAAGGGGCTGGTTTCTGTACTACCTGGCTTGGACCACTGACGGGCCTCTGAGAACAAAAAAGCCTCCAGAAAACCTGAAGTACTGTGAAAGACACCAGAGGAAGCAAGAGATTACAAACTCCTGAAAAAGAAAACAGCAAAACCTTGCTAACAGAATTACACACATAAGTCCAAAAGAAGATTCATCCACAGAAAAGGTTTTAGAGGCTTCCAGAATCTATAACCAGGCTGATTGGTGAAGATCTTGCATTGACAACGCCAGTCTGTAAATACTAGGAGAAGTGACTTTTTTCGTATGTATGATTCCAACACAAAGTAACCAAACATAAGAAGAAACTTGGTCCAACAAAAGAACAAAATAGCCCAGCCTATGTGGCTCAGTGGTTAAGTGTCGACCCATGCATCAAGAGATACCCTGTTCAATTTCCTGTCAGGGCACATGCCCAGGTTGTGGGCCACATCTCCAGTGAGGGGCATGCAGGAGGCGGCCAATTGATGTTCTCTCTCATTGATGTTTCTATCTCTCTCTCCCTTCCTCTAGCTCTAAAAATCAATAAGGAAAAAAAAACAATTTAAAAAATAAATAAATCTCTAAAAACTGACCCTAAAGAAATGGAGATATGTGAATTACATGACAAAGAATTCAAAATAATCATATGAAGATGCTCAGTGAGCTCAGGAAAATAGTATGTGAGATGATGACGATAAGAATGTAAGAACATCAACAAAGAGAAAATATTTTTAAAAGAACCAAACAAAATTTGGAGCTGAATAATACAATAAATGATTAAAAATTTCATGAGTAGAGTTTAACAGAAGACTTGATTGAGCAGAAGAAAGAATCAGCAAACTCAGACAGGTCATTTGAAATTATCTAATCAAAGAAGCAAAAAGCAAAAAAGGATGAAGAGTAAGGAAAGTTTAAGGGACGTATGGGACAACATCAAGCAGACCAATATATGCATTTTGAGAATCTCAGAAGGAGAGAGAGAAAAAGAAGTAGAAAGCTTATTTCAAAATGTAATAGACAAAACTTCCAAAGTCTGGGGAAGGAAGTGGACATGTAGGTTCAAGAAGCCAGGTGCATGCCAGTTAGGATGGACTGAGACACTTTATGATCAAGTTGTCAAAAGTAAAAACAGAATTTTTAAAACAGCAAAAGCAACTTGTCATATGCAATGGAACTCCCATAAGAATCTCAGTGAATTTTTTAGCAGAAACCTTGCAGGACAGAAGAGAATAACGATATATTCAAAGTGCTGAAAGAACAAAAGAAAAAAACTGCCAATCAAGAATACTGTATCCAGCATAACTTTTCTTCATTCCCAGGTAAACAAAAACTGAGAGTTTATCACCACTAGACCTGTCTTACAAGAAATGCCTAAGGGACTCCTTCAAGTTGAAAGGATGCTGAATAGCAACACAAAAGCACATAAAGGTATAAACCTCATTGGTAAAAGTAAATATATAGACAAACACGGAATATTGTCATATGTGTATATATAATTGGGGTGTTTTATTTATTTATTTATTTATTTATTTATTTATTTATTTATTTTTTAATCCTCATCCGAGGACATTTTTCCATATTTTGTTCAGATAGAGTGGGAGGAGGAGGAGAGAGAGAGAGAAACATTGATGTGAAAGGGACACATCGAGTGGTTGCCACCTGCACAACCCAACCAGGGTTGGGGACAAACTGCAACCGAGGTACGTGCCCCTAGCGGGAACCGAACCCAGGTCTCACTGGACCGCAGGCTGATGCTTTAACCGTTGAGCCAAACTGGCCAGGGCTATAATTGGTTTTAACTTGTATAAAATTTAAAAGACAAAAGTATTTAACTATAAAATATATTAATGGATATAAAATATTTAAAAATGTAATTTGTGCCCTGGCTGGTTTGGCTCAGCAGTTAGGGTGTTGGCCTGCGGACCAGTGAGTTGCATGTTTGATTCCGGTCAAGGGCATGTACTTGGGTTTCAGTTAGTCCCAGGCCCTGATTGAGGTTGTGCAGGAGGCAACCAGTTGATGTGTCCCTCTCGTGTCAATGTTTCTCTCTCCCTCTCCCTCTCCCTCACCCTTGCCCTCTTCCTTTCTCTGACTCCCATTCAATCTGAACAAAAATATCCTCAGGTGAGGATTAAAAAAATTAAAAAATGTAATTTGTGCCCTGGCCGGTTTGGCTAAGCAGTTAGAGCGTTGGCCCACAGATCAAAGAGTCTCAGGTTCGATTCTGGTCAAGGGCACATATCTACCTCAGTTGCGGTTCAGACCCTGGCCCTGGTCCAGATTGTACGGGAGGCAACCAATCTATATGTCTTTCTCACATCAAT